TAGTGCCAGTCTATAAAAAGGGAAATAAGAACAACCTAGGGAATTACAGACCAGTCAGCTTAACTTCTGTACCCAGAAAGATAATGGAGCAAATAATTAAGCAATCAATTTGCAAACATCTAGAACAGGGATCAGCAACCTTTCAGAAGTGGTGTGCCAAGTCTTCATTTATTCATTGTAATTTAAGGTTTCACATGCCAGTAATACATTTTAACATTTTTAGAAGGTATATAAGTCTATATTATGTAACTACACTATTGTTGTATGTAAAGTAAATAAGGTTTTTAAAACGTTTAAGAAGCTTCATTTAAAATTAAATTAAAATGTAGATCTTATCCTTTTAGTGTGATCCTTGCCCTTGCTTTTCCTTTCTGAGTTTTTCAATGTCTGTAAATAGATTATCTTCTTTTGGGAGAGAAAGGTTCCATTCATCCAGGCAGGCAGCGGGCTGAGCGGGGCCGGTGGCCGAGACCCCCAGCTGGTAAGGGGGCTGGTGGCCAGAACCCCAGACCGGTAGCGAGCTGAGCGGGGCCGGTGGCCGGAACCCCAGGCTGGCAGCAGAGTGCCACTAAAAACCAGCTTGCTTGCTGCCTTTGGCACGCTTGCCACAGGTTGCCGACTCCTGAGCTAGAAGATGATAAGGTGATAAATAACAGTCAGGATGGATTTGTCAAGAACAAACCCTGTCAAACCAACCTGATAGCTTTCTGTGTCAGTGTAACAAGCCTTGTGGATAGGGGGGAAGCCGTAGAGGTGGTATAGCTTGACTTTAGTAAAGCTTTTGATACTATTTTGTGTGACCTTCTCATAAACAAACTAGGGAAATGCAACCTAGATGGAGCTACTATAAGGTGGGTGCAAAACTGGTTGGAAAGCCGTTCCCAGAGACTAGTTATCAGTGGTTCACAGCATGCTGGAAGGACATAACAAGTGGGGTCCCGCAGGGATCAATTCTGGGTCTAGTTCTGTTCAATATCTTCATCAGTGATTTAGATAATGGCATACAGAGTACACTTTATAAAGTTTGCGGATGATACGAAGCTGAGCGAGGTTGCAAGTGCTTTGGAGGATAGGATTAAAATTCAAAATGATCTGGACAAACTGGAGAAATGTTCTGAAGTAAATAGGATGAAATTCAATAAGGACAAATGCAAAGTACTCCACTTAGGAAGGAACAATCAGTTGCACGCATACAAAATGGCAAATTGCTGCCTAGGCAGGAGTACTGCGGAAAGGGGTCTGGGGGTCATAGTGGACCACAAGCTAAATATGAGTCAACCCTGTAACGCTGTTGCAAAAAAAGTGATCATTCTGGGATGTATTAGCAGGAGTGTTGTAAGCAAGACACAAGAAGTCATTCTTCCACTCTACTCTGTGCTGATTAGGCCTCAACTGGAGTACTGTGTCCAGTTCTGGGTACCACATTTCAGGAAGGATGTGGACAAATTGGAGAGAGTCCAGAGAAGAGCAACAAAAATGATTAAAGGTCAAGAAAACATGGCCTATGAGGGAAGATTGAAAAAATTGGGTTTGTTTAGTCTGGAAAAGAGAAGACTGAGAGGGGACATGACATGATAACAGTTTTCAAGTATGTAAAAGGTTGTTACAAGGAGGAGGAAGAGAAATTGTTTTTCTTAACCTCTGAGAATAGGACAAGAAGCAATTGGCTTCAATTGCAGCAAGGGAGGTTTAGGTTGGACATTAGGAAAAACTTCCTAACTGTCAGGGTGGTTAAGCACTGGAATAAATTGCCTAGGGAGGTTGTGGAATCTCCATCACTGGAGATTTTTAAGAGCTGGTCGGACAAACACCTGTCAGGGATGGTCTAGATAATTAGTCCTGCCACCAGTGCAGGAGACTGGACTAGATGACCTCTGGAGGTTCCTTCCAGTTTTATGATTCTCAGATCATCTGCATCCTTGCCACTCACAGGCCAAGCATGTGTGTGTATTGAAGAGGGGGTGCAAGGAGATGGGAACTCAAATCCTCAGTGGACTGGCCAGGTTAAATTTTAACATATAGGGAAGGTGGAAAGAAAAAAAGCAAAAGGCTAGAAATTCTCTCAAAAGAGAAAAGTAGCAGAGTTTCCATGACTCCATCCTACACCCGGAGGGTTAGTGCCCGGCAGGTGGAGAAACAGGTCTGAGTGGAGGAGATGGTGCATTTGGGTGGGTAGCTTGGCTTGGGTGTAAAATATCTGCTCTGTGTTTGCAGCATGCATAGGTGTGTGCGCACATGGGTGTTTGTGTGCGGCTCTGGGTCTATGGGTGCAGGTGTCTCTGAGTGTGTGTTTCCCTCTGGCTATGGCTGGGTACACTGCTGCCTGCATTGCTCTGAGCGCGTGTGTGTGTGTGTGTGTGTACACATCTCTGCGCTGTGTTGGCCGTAGGCATAGCTGTGTGTGCACATAGAATCATAGAATCATAGAATATAAGGGTTGGAAGGGACCCCAGAAGGTCATCTAGTCCAACCCCTGCTCAACAGGACCAATTCCCAGTTAAATCATCCCAGCCAGGGCTTTGTCAAGCCTGACCTTAAAAACCTCTAAGGAAGGAGATTCTACCACCTCCCTAGGTAACGCATTCCAGTGTTTCACTACCCTCTTAGTGAAAAAGTTTTTCCTAATATCCAATCTAAACCTCCCCCACTGTAACTTGAGACCATTACTCCTCGTTCTGTCATCTCCTACCATTGAGAACAGTCTAGAGCCATCCTCCTTGGAACCCCCTTTCAGGTAGTTGAAAACAGCTATCAAATCCCCCCTCATTCTTCTCTTCTGCAGGCTAAACAATCCCAGCTCCCTCAGCCTCTCCTCATAACTCATATGTTCCAGACCCCTAATCATTTTTGTTGCCCTTCGCTGGACTCTCTCCAATTTATCCACATCCTTCTTGAAGTGTGGGGCCCAAAACTGGACACAGTACTCCAGATGAGGCCTCACCAATGTCGAATAGAGGGGAACGATCACGTCCCTCGATCTGCTCGCTATGCCCCTACTTATACATCCCAAAATGCCATTGGCCTTCTTGGCAACGAGGGCACACTGCTGACTCATATCCAGCTTCTCGTCCACTGTCACCCCTAGGTCCTTTTCCGCAGAACTGCTGCCTAGACATTCGGTCCCTAGTCTGTAGCTGTGCATTGGGTTCTTCCGTCCTAAGTGCAGGACCCTGCACTTATCCTTATTGAACCTCATCAGATTTCTTTTGGCCCAATCCTCCAATTTGTCTAGGTCCTTCTGTATCCTATCCCTCCCCTCCAGCGTATCTACCACTCCTCCCAGTTTAGTATCATCCGCAAATTTGCTGAGAGTGCAATCCACACCATCCTCCAGATCATTTATGAAGATATTGAACAAAACCGCCCCAGGACCGACCCTTGGGGCACCACTTGATACCGCTGCCAACTAGACATGGGCATTGATCACTACCCGTTGAGCCCGACAATCTAGCCGCTTTCTACCCACCTTGTGTGCATTCATCCAGCCCATACTTCCTTAACTTGCTGACAAGAATACTGTGGGGACCGTGTCAAAGCTTTGCTAAAGTCAAGAAACAATACATCCACTGCTTTCCCTTCATCCACAGAACCAGTAACCTCATCATAGAAGGCGATTAGATTAGTCAGGCAGACCTTCCCTTGGTGAATCCATGCTGGTGTTCCTGATCCTTTCCTCTCATGTAAGTGCTTCGGATTGATTCTTTGAGGACCTGCTCCATGATTTTTCCAGGGACTGAAGTGAGGCTGATGGTGTGTTCCGATCCTCCTTCTTCCCTTTTTTAAAGATTGGCACTACATTAGCCTTTTTCCAGTCATCCGGACTTCCCGTTCCCACGAGTTTTCAAAGATAATGGCAATGGCTTGCAATCACAGCCCCAGTTCCTTCAGCACTCTGGGTGCAACTGTCCGGCCCCATGGACTTGTGCAGTCCAGCTTTTCTAAAAGTCCCTAACCACCTCTATCTCCACAGAGGGCTGGCATCTCTTCCCCATTTTGTGATGCCCACTAGCGTCTGGGGGACTTGTTGTGAAAACAGAGGCAAAAAAGCATTGAGTACATTAGCTTTTTCCACATCCTCTGTCACTAGTTTGCCTCCCTCATTCAGTAAGGGGCCCACACTTCCTTGGCTTTCTTCTTGTTGCAACATACCTGAAAAACCCTTCTTGTTACTCTTGACATCTCTGGCTAGCTGCAGCTCCAGGTGGATTTGGCCCTCCTGATAACATTCCTACTGCCCTAGCAATATTTTTATACTCTTCCCTGGTCTATGTCCAACCTTCCACTTCTTGTAAGCTTCTTTTTTATGTTTAAGATCCCTAAGATTTCACCATTAAGCCAAGCTGGTCGCTGCATATTTACTATTCTTTCACTCATGGGATGGTTTGTCCCTGTAACCTCAACAGGGATTCCTTGAAATACAGCAGCTCTCCTGACTCCTTTCCCCTTCAGTTAGTCCCCCAGGGGATCCTGGCATCCGTTCCCTGAGGGAGTGAAGCTGCTTTCCTGAAGTCCAGGGTCCGTATGTGCTGCTTACCTTTCTTCCCTGTGTCGGATCCTGAACTAACCAACTCTGGTCACGCCCCCCGATTCCCATCCACTTTTGCTTCCCCCACTAATTCTACCCGGTTTGTGAGCAGCAGGTCAAGAAAAGCGCCCCCTAGTTGGCTCCTCGGCCTTCGCCAGGAAATTGTCCCCTACCTTTCCAAAAACTTCCTGGATTGTCTATGCACCGCTGTATTGCTCTCCCACAGATATCAGGAAAATTAAAGCACCCATGAGAATCAGGGCATGCGTGTGCACATGCACATGTGTTTCGGGGTGTGGCTACCGGTACACGTGGACAGGTGTACCTGAGTGTGAGTTTCTGTCCGCACGGCCGGGGGCGGCAGGGGCGGGCGGGGGCGGCCTGCCCCTCTCGGCGGGTGTGCGCACGCGTGTCCGTGGGGGCAGCGGCGGGGGGACACACGCGGCGCAGCCTGGCCGGGCGCGTGCGGTCTGCGCGCGGCGTGGGGTGGCCCCGCAGCCCCCGGGCCCAGGCCGGCCGCACGTTCCCTTTAAATGCAGCCGGCGGGGAGCTGTCCGGGCTCCGGGCGCTGCCTGGCTTCCTGCAGGATGGAGCCGGGCGGAGGAGGCGGAGGGGGGGCCCGTGCTAATTACATAAGCAAAACGTAAATAATTCGCGGGAAAAAGTGAAAAAGATGGCGCCCCGCCTCACCCGCCTGCAGCGCCGCTAGCCGGGGAGCAGCCGGCGCGCCCGGGGGCGGCATGGGGGGGACCCCGCGCCCCAGGCACTGAGCCGCCCGCGGGCAGCGCCCCAAGGACCTGGCGGAGCGGTAAGGGGGGGGCCGGGGACACCCGGCGCAAAGTTTGCAAGGTGGCCGCGGGTGCGGGGCTGGCTGGGGCAGGGGGTGTCTGCGCTTGGAGATCCAGGCGAGAAGGAAACTCCCCCCTCCCGCAGACTTTGTGGATTTTGTAGGGTTAGCTAGATTTTTTTTGGGGGGGGGGAGGTGGGTGGTAGTGGGGGGGGGGGTCTTCGGCGACTGTGTCAGGATCTGCCGGGGGCTGAACCTGCTTCCTTGGCGGGGGGTGTTGCATGGGTTAAAAAGCAAACAACCCCAATGAGGACAAACCCCCCCAAAGCGATTGTTAGTCCGGGCACGTTGGCGGCTCGGGCGGCCGGAAAGTTAGCGAGGGAGCGGAGAAAACCGGCCCCGGCCCTGGCGACGCGTCCGAGGGTGCAAACGTGGGAGCCGCGACCCGCCCCCGCGGCGGGGCCTTAATCCCACGGGAGCTTTGGCCCCGCGTGTCAGTGACTTTGTAGTCGCCGCCTCCGCCCCCTGCCCTGTCTGGGGGCCCGTTTGCCGGGGGCGTCTCAAACGCCCCCCCCCACCACCAAAAATAATGGTTTTAATTTTGAATGTTTTTGAATCAGCCAATCACAGCTCTGTGGGCGACCGGCTCCGAGGTGAGGGCCCGCCGCGGAGAGTTTTGTTGCCGGGGCCGGAGGGGGCCGGTCCTGGCTGGTGGAGAAAGGGAAATCGGGAGGGTAGCTGGGCGCGCCCCCAGCTTACGGGGCTGCCCCCTTCTCTCCCAGCGGGGGGACACGTGGCGCCCACCCCCACCAGACGCTCTTTCCCTCCCATCGCCGGGGCCGGGGTCGCCGGGGCCGGGGTGTGGGTGGGGGCGGCTTGTGCCCGTGAATGAACCTGCCCTTGCGGGAGGCTGGGGCGCCGGCGATCCGCCCCTTCCCAAAGCACCGCCGAGCCGCCGGGGAAAGGGGTTGCCCGGCCCTGGCTCGTCTCACTGCTCGGGCTGCTCCCTCGCCTGGGCTTTGGGCGCGGACCCCGGGTGCGCGGGTCTGGTCCCCCGCTGGGCATCGGCCGCTGCCCGGCCGGGAGGAGCGCTGGCGGGGGGCTGAGTAATTAGCGCAGGGAGCTTTTCCTCCGAGAGGCCACAGGGTCCTTCCCGAAAAGGGGATTCATGCCTCTGGAATGTGGGAGAGTCGCTGACGTTCCTGGGCCTGGCAGCGATGTTTCATCTTCAAATAGTCGCTTCCTGGCGCGAGCGGCCCGGGAGGGAGAGCTCAGTGGTGTGAGCATTGGCCTGCTAAGCCCAGGCTTGTGAGTTCAAGCCTTGAGGGGGCCCTTTAGGGATCTGGGGCACAACTGGGGATGGGCCCTGCTTTGAGCAGGGGTTGGACTAGATGGCCGCCTGAGGTCCCTTCCAACCCCGATATTCTATGAATTCTATTCTGTGAATCATTGCTTTTATTTCTCCCCGGGGGTGGGGGTCCAAAGGCAAACACCCCTTTTTAACTTTAGCGGAAGGAGAGACTGAGTGTTCTTGGGCCGGCTGCTCTTCCTGTCTTCGCTTTATCCTCTTCTGAGATGCGAAGAAAAGGAATATGATTCCAACCATTATTCTGGAAAGGAAGCGAGGTGTTTTCAGTTTGGGACTGGCTGCCTTGGACTTGCCTGGAAAGGCGCCTTGCTCTCTAGCAAATATTTAACAAGCTGGGAATGTGTGTCATTTCCCAGGAGTAGCCCAGCTTTCCTTGACTAGGGCCAAATCCAGGGGGGAGTCAAAACTGGTGTTTGTCACTTCCTCTTCTAGCCCACTTGGAGTGGAGTACAAGTCATACCGATTTAGACTTACCTGTGAATCCGCAGGAAAGTTTTGCATTGCGTGGGCATATCAGGCAATCCCAGGGGCCTGGGTGAGAAAAGATCATCCTGAAGATTACACTGAATTAGGGGTTCCAGTCCCTATTCTGGCAAAATTCCCACTGATGTCAGGGGGATCCTCTCCTGTGTGAAGGCTGCCTTTGATTATTAGCTGGTAATGATAGCTAAAGGCTGGATTCTCATACTCTCCCTGTTGGGTAGCATCTTACTTCACAAATGGTCCAGTGAGGAGGGCCCAGTGAGACTAGAGCTGGAGAACCGATCCGGATACATTACTTGAACCTTTGCCCTGAAACTGGACGTTTATGCATGGGGGATGGGGAAAGGCGATTTTTTTTTTCCATTCAAATGTTATTTTTTGCATGCTTTCTGCACTTCCGGGTTCTGTCCCGGAGCGCAGACACCAGAAGCGAGTGAGGCTGCTGTCTAGGAATTTCCAGCCTAATTCTGTGGATTCAAGAGGTTAAGATAGTTGGGAAGAGAAAACTTCAAAATGAAGTTTGCCCACTACTCATGGATGGGAGTTTCCAAATGCCCTGACCTCCCCTGCTTTAGCCTTTCTGTCTCTGTAACTTTGGTACCTGTCATCTGTCTCTGAATAATAACCATATAGTACTTGTTTTACTAAACTGAAGGCCAAACCAAATTCACATTGAAGTCAGTGGGTGTCTTCCCATTGACTTAAGGGGAAACTGAAACAGGTCTTAATATCATAGTCTGGTTTAATATGAAAACAAATCAGAGGGTGACTTGCATTTTTCAGTGGCCTGTAGCAGCTTGCTGATGTGATTGCCCAGAGACCATGCTCTTTGTGGGGTTTGCTTTGCTTGGCTACATTTGGACAGACTTGCATTAACTTTAGTTGAGAGACTCGCTAACCACTAAAATTTGACTCATCGAAGCTGTAAGTCTTATTGGTAGTTTGTAGGGTGTGCTCCTGTATTCATGTTTGCATGCAAAGTCCCAAGGGTAAAACACATTGAGTTGTTTATATATTAAATCAATTCCAGGGCATAAACTAAGGCAGGAGTTCGTGTTGCAATTAAAGGGACAGTATCAAGATAAAAATCCTGTGTCACTCAATGATGTTGCCTTACCTGTGTTTACTAATGATATCAATGATTATTAAAACTGGAAGTATTTTAAAAATCAAATTTACTTGATGCCATTTGTTTACTTTTTGCTCTTCACTCCCCTAGGAGAGTGAAACTCGGCTGGTCAGTATCACTTTCTGTTTATAGTCAGTTGAATTTTCATGCTGGTGCCTTGATCCGGTGCTGCTGGGTTTGGGAGTTTATTAAAAAGTGCAGAATCATAGAATATCAGGGTTGGAAGGGACCTCCAGAGGTCATCTAGTCCACCCCCCTGCTCAAAGCAGGATCAATGCTCAATTTTTGCCCCAGATCCCTAAATGGCCCCCTCAAGGATTGAACTTGCAACAAGAGAAATGTTTGAATTAAAATTCACAGAAATAAAAAGTAAATTCTGTCAACCCTTCAAATGTACATCTTTTGGCCGAAGTATTTCAGACCTGACAGGGCCTTCTGAAATGAGTGGTACCAGAGAAGCTCTTCTCTTTGTTCATTATGATCTTAGCTGTATCCCCTTTTCCTTGGTTTTGTTAACTGAAGGCTAATATAACTTATGTTTTCTCAACTACAGACCGGGACCTCTGGTTCTAAAAGCATATACGCCTCTACAGCTTGAGCTAAAAGAGTGGCTATTAGCCAAGGCTGAAGCAGGTTCATCAACCTCTATTTGTGGCCCTGCCACTACTCTAGGGGAACAGAATGCCACACGGAGTGGGTTACACTAGCAATAATCCTGTGCTATGCATAAGGTCTGTAACATCAGCCTCCTTATAGAGACAAAACTCCCAGTGAAGTGGGTGAGAGCTTTGTCTGATTAAGGATGGTGAGACTGGTACCAATGGCTCCCAGTACTGGAGAGTTTGCATGATCAGAACTAGCTTTTCCTTATGTTGTGATGGCAAAGTCACTGAGTGTGTGTTTTATTGGCAGTGTCTGCTGAGGCTCATGGAGAACGGCACACACAACCCAATCATCCGAGATGTCTATGCAGCTGCCAGCCACCTGCAACAAGCAGCCGTCAACTCTTCTGCGAATGGGAGTGGCTGCAAAGATCTGATGGTCAAACTGACTGAGGGGCAGTATGTGCTTTGCAGGTGGACTGATGGACTCTATTACCTTGGAAAGATCAAGAGGGTAAAGTAGGCGTTCAAAGCTCTATGCAATCTGACACGGTTCTCTGTTACTTACTTATATACCAGAGATGTGCTTGAATCAGAGCCTAGATCCAAATGCTCCAAGTTTTATTGGGGGTGAGGGGTTGGAATCTGAACCTGGATCCTGATTTGAACTTCCCAGCAGATCCCAATATCTCAGTAATTGGAGTGACCCAAATCCTGCCTTCAAGTACCCCCAAACTTTGGGTGTTTTGAAATCTGGATTCAGGTCCCAGTTTGGATGAATGCATCTGTCTCATTTTAAAGGGCTAAACAGAAGCCCTTTTCTCTGCTAACACTAGATCTGTGCAAACCTTCCTGGGCTCATTTCCTAAGGGCTTCCCAGGCTAAGCCTTGCAGTTTGCTTCACAGGGGACTGACCCCTGCAAATCTGTTTGGAGGTTTGTTAGACTCCCACTCCATGTGCGCAAGTCCCTAGTCCTATCTCCTTCTCTCCAGGACCCCGAGAACAGCTTCTCTCACATATGTTGGGCATGGGCAGCAGGTCTTCCTTCCCTTCTTACTAAACACAGTTGGAAGTTCGACATTGTATATATTTGATGGAAGCTGTCATTTTATCAAATCACCTGAAACAAAAACAATCAGCAACATATTTCATGTGCAATTTTATGGCAACATTTGTACTTTTTATTTCCCACAAGTTCTAGTCTTTACACAGGAAGTTGGTGGCAGAGTCATGCTGGAAGACACTTAACCTCTCTGTGCCTCAGTTTACTTACCTGTGAAACTTTAACACATGCCCAACTTTTGTAAACGTAATTTGAGAGCCCTCCGTGGAAGATGCTGGCTAAGTGTTATCAGAAGGACTAGGCTCGTGAAAGCTGTCCAGGGTCAGTGAGGCACATCCAGTGATTGTGCTGCGATGGTAAACAGCCTGGCTACTGGGGTTAAGACAAATTCTGCAGGTGGGTGGCTTGGCAAATTTGGGAACTCATTCTCAGGCTGCTGGTTTCCATCCAGCCCATATCAGTGGTGACCAGAAATCATTTCATTTGATGGTGAAATGAGGTGATGGGCTTCCGTCCGGTTTCTAGAGGGTAAGCAGATCATCACGTTAGTGGGCTCCTCAGCAGAGATGCTAAGGGCTGGATGAGTGTGGGAACAAAGACTCTCTTATCTCTCGATGGTACTCCAAGGCAGGGGTGGGCACTGGTGCTGCTCGTGTGCCTGGTAGGTGGCAACACGGCCAGCTTTGGTTTTCAGGGCTCTTAGTCTAGCATCCCTCACCAAAGCAAAATGCAACTGGATGTTCCTTTAAAATCCACATGCTGCAGTGAGTTCCTGCGCAGAGCTATCAGAATGTTGTGAGTTTACAAAAATGCTTAAAGTGAGGGGGATAAAATTGCACCTGACACCTCTCTTGTTTGCACAGGTAAGTGGCTCTAAACAGAGCTGTCTTGTGACCTTTGAAGATAACTCCAAGTACTGGGTCCTTTGGAAGGATATTCAGCATGGTGAGTGAAGCTCTGGTCTCTTTTCCTGCCCTGGGGTTTTTTAAATAGGCAGGGACAAATCCCGAAAGGGGCTCAGCACCTTCTGTTCCTAAGGATGGACCTGAAGACTCCCCAAACTTCCCATTTTCTCTTGTTTTGCTGGAGTGGCTTTAGCTGCGTGAGGCCTGGGCGTTGTTTATTCAAAGGTAGCTCTGGGACATCTGCTTCCATTGCTCTCAGCTGACTCCTTTGCCGCCCTACACTGGCTCTCCATTTATCAGGAGTGCTCCTGGGATCTTTGCACTGTGGGTCACCAAGCATGGGTGCCAAGTTAAATGGTAGGTTTTGGTATAACATATGTACGATGCAGCATGACTCAGCCTCCCCTGCCCAGACTCAGCGAGGGAATGCCCCATGGAAACATACTGCCTAGCCACTGGTCCCCTTCTTGCAGCACCCCTATGCCCTGTCTATAGGATTTCTGCCCCCACTCTGCACTGCATGGGGAAGGGGGTCAATGCAGATGCCACTAAAGTCATTCTGTTCACGGGCTGATATTTCTGATGTGTCATGTGCCAGGTCTGGATAAAGGCTCCAAATGTACCTGGCTGGGATCTGTAGGATATCTTTGCATCGTTGTATGTAAAAAAAAACCAAAAACAAAAAACCTCTGGCATTTTAACGCTTTCAGTGTTGTCCAGAGCAGCAGGTCTGTCCAGAAAATGAGCGGTTTGTCTGAGTGGACATTCCTTTAACCGCTTGGGGCCATTTATTTGACTGGCGGTCTGGAAAATGTTAGGAGGAACAAGAACTGTTTGGATGTTCTGGCTAGACTAATGGTGGTTCGCTGGGCTGTGTTTGTCTCTGGCTGGTGCTTGCGTCATGTCCAGTGGCAGGATTCTTATCTCTGGCTTACATCCTGCCTGTGTGATCATTTAGCTCCATTTGTTTGGAGCTGTGAATTTTGCCGATGTGCCTGGGTTTTTCCCATGGGAGATACTCCTCGTCCTAATGGTCGAGGAAGGCTGGGTCAGGAGTCCCAACAGAGGCCACCAACACGTCTTCCCAAGGGCTGGGTGTGCTCTTTAGTGAGACATGTCTCCTGCTGCTCTCGGAGGTTGTGTGTCTGGTACCTGCAGAAGCCTTAGCCACTGGTGGCCCAAGGAATAAGAGACTGGAACTAGGAAACAAGCCTGGGTCTTGTGTGTGGCAATGCAGAGATCAGTGGCTAGCCATGCTCACAATCCCATCAGACTGGCCTCAGACGCTGCTGTGTCACGTGGATGATCAAGCTGAATCGTTTTAGTCTAGAAAGAGCAGATGCCTCAGCTAGTGCCTTTGTCCACCTAGGGCGATACTTCCCCCTGCCCTGTGCAGAAGACCAATGCTGTCATAGCAGTTCTGTCTTCAGGAGCAATGCTGAAAAGAATTCAGTTTAGCATTTGGGGCGTTTAAATAATATGATTTTGCACCAGCTTCCATGTAACATTCCACTTCTGGGATAATACGTGGCATTTATAACGTGCTGCTCGTCCCATAAAATGCCATTGAAAGTTTTCTTTTTAAACAAAACATGCAGGAATAGCTTCATCTTCATGGAAACGGGGATGGGGCAGGTGTTTGATGTGCCTCTAGCCATACTTACACCTCAGGTTTAGGGCAGGGAGTGAAGGAGGATACCAGGCCCTGCTGGGACTATGGCCACATGTCGTTTGCTCTGGAGCAGTCCCTCACCTCCCTGTGCAAGTGATGGAATCTGCCATCCGGTGATCGTGTGCTCATGAGGTGTGGGCTGTGAACGTGCATATGAGTAAAGGTTGGGATGAGCTTCCACTGAAATCCAGCCTCTAGTTTGTTTTCACTCTGTAAGGTAAGCACTTGGCCATCCATTTGGATGAAGGATGCAACAGAGATCCTAGTCCCATGAACCTGTTCATAGCCAGAAGAAACAGCGGAAGAGAAATATGGCCTTGAATAGGATGACTTTGAAACTTCCCTGAGGCAGCAGCACGTCTTTAAACCTTTCACTTTATTTCTGATCCAAAGACAAAGGGTGCAATCCTGACTCTATTTGAGTGACTGGGAGTTGCACTCTGAATATGTAAGTGCTCCTAGAGGGGAGGTTCTCAAACTGGGGGTCGGGACCCCTCAGTGGGTCATGAGGTTATTACAGGGGGGCGGGGGATCACGAGCAGTCAGCCTCCACCCCAAACCCCGCTTTGCATCCAGTACTTATAATGGTGTTAAATATATAAAAAAGTGTTTTTAATGTATAAGGGGGGTCGCACTCAGAGGCTTGCTATGTGAAAGGGGTCACTAACAAACAAAAGTTTGAGAACTACTCTGTTAGATCCTGCGTCTCTTCTCACACCAGTACAATTCCATTGACGCAATGGATGTACTTTGGATTTACCCTGGGCCGAGTGAGATGAGAGTCCGGCCCCTAGAGCCTATTTATGGGCTGCCTTGGTACAGAAATCTTGATTTTGCTACAGGCAAAAAAAAAAAGCTATAAATTAACGTGCTCTTGGATGTCTTTTCACAAGGGCATGTCATGGGAATGATTTTTTTTTTTCACCCCAGTTTTCTGGCTAAGCTCGAAGCACACTTCAGTATTTTGCCAAGTCTGGTGTGTGTAGGGGCCAAGACAAAATTTGCTGGTTCTGATCCAACAGGTCAGTTCTTAGCTGGAGTTTCTGCAGGTGCTGGCAACCCTCGCTTTGTTACAGATGTCCCTCCCAGACAGACCTGGGAACGTATGTTAGTTGAAAAGCAAATATCATCCTTCTTGGGGGAAACTGTTCTCCTCTGTGACCCAAAGTGGTGGCTGAACAGAAGGATGTGCAAGTGTCTAAGAGGATTCTGGGTTGGGCTCCCCACGTAGAATGTTCTGGGATAGGTTCTAGCCTGCATATGTGTCTGCACATAGAGGTGTAACTACTGGTGAGCCCGTGGTCAAGCCAGAAAGAGAACTTAGGAGTTGCCCAGGTTCTTTCCTTTAACTATATAATATGGTGTGTGTGTGTTTGAGGGTATAAATAGAATTTTGCCAGCAGACCCTCTTCCCCACCCCCTCCCGGGTATTTCCTGCCAAGATGTTGCCTGAATCACGCATCTCTGAACCCACTGCTCTCTTGCTCTTTTTTTTAGCTGGTGTCCCCGGAGAAGAGCCAAAGTGTAACATCTGCCTGGGAAAGACATCAGGGCCCCTGAACGAAATCCTCATCTGTGGAAAATGTGGTCTAGGTAAGAGCGAGTGCTGCTCCACGTAGAGTGTGATGCCCCCCCGGATTGTGGAAACTGCTTCAGATTCCGATGCTCTTCTCAGACTGGAGCAGGGCCCAGCACGCCTGGTTCCCCCTCCTGCAGGCCCTGTGCTGCGAGAGAGCATGGCTGCCTTGCTTCGACATTTCTGGCTGACCCTGGCAGTGACGGTGGCTTTCATTTTTGTGTTTTCTGGTACTGAAGGGCCACAATGTCATTGCTTGGGCGGGAAGGAGAAAATGAACTTGGCACACTTGGCAGACCTTTTCTCACAGAGTAGCAGACCAGGATGAAGGAGCAGGGGATCCGCTCCTCCCCTTTTACACTAAGCTGATACTTGCAGAGTTTATTAATAAGGGATATCCGATGAACAGAGCTGGCCATTTCCCCAGTACGGTGTCATGTGTCACTCTGACATACAGTGAAAACAGGTGGCATTCACTGAAAACCAGGTGCCCAGTGTGGCCACTCTCAGGCAGAATCCCCACTGGCTTCGGGATCCCAGGGGTCCCAGCTTCGGGGTCCCAGCACTGCCGCAAGACAGGTTAGAACCACAGAAAGCAGCTGAGGAGTAACGTGACTGTTCACATTTGGTTGAGAGCTGAGTGCACGTATGTTTGGGGGAATGATCGGGAGGGTGGGCCGCATGGGGCTGCGTGTATGTTTGGGGAGGAGGAGTGAGACTGTGCATGGGATGGGGTGTAGTGGGCGGGGGATGAATGGAGGGCATGTGTGGGTGTGTATATATTTGGCAGGATGAGTGGGGCTGTGAATGGGTGTGCGTGGGGGGGTGTATGTTTACGGGGGATGGGATGCAGCTAATGTTTCCTCTCGGTTCATTGAAACCCCCGGGTGTCCCATGGCTCTGATACGCCGGCTGCAGGGGAGCTGTGCCGTTAATGCTGGATGCATGCTGAGCTCCAGGCTGGCCTTTCTCTGGCCGGGAGAACCTGGCGTTATCCAGTCGGGGCTACGGGATACCCGTTAATCCCCTTCCACGACCTGTGGCCGATCATTAGCGGCTGCTGTTACTGTGTGTGTTTGTGAGTGGGCCGTACCTGCGCGCACACAACCCCTGCCTTCTCATTGGCCAGCTGGTCTCTGTGCTCCCAGAAGGCTCTTGGCTCGCTGTACACTGATTGTCCCTCCTCTAGGCTATCACCAGCAGTGCCACATCCCGGTGGTGGACAGCAGCGACGGCCCCGTGCTGACGCCCTGGTTTTGTCGGAGATGTATATTTGCCCTGGCTGTACGGGTGAGTGAGGCTCGCCGTCCTGCTCGCTAGCTCTCCGGTCCGGTTTTGGTTCTGCGGGGATGGCGATTACAAGTTAGCTCCTTCCCTTCTGGGGGCTGCCAACCGCAACAAGAACCTGCCCTGCCAGGTGGTTTTTGCTGGGCAAACTCTCTGCAGTGGGTGGCTGACTGCGCGGTACTTACCCCGGCTCTTCATGCAGGGGTTAGCTTAGGGGGACTGGGCAGAAGAGCCCTGCATTCCTATGGAGGGGTGAAATCCTTTGTAGCTGATGGCAAGGGGGCAGGATCACCCGCTCTGTGCTGGGACAGAAGGGAGCCAGCTTGCATCGCCCCTGCTCGGGGGCTGCCGGTTCAGCACCCCCTGCTGTGTCTGGAAGCCCACTCTAACTTGTGCCCCATGGGTCGTGGCAGGGCACAGAATCATAAGGCTTCACCTTGGCTGTGCCTCCCACATGGGGGCAGGGAGAGCTCCTGCAGTGCTGGCCTAGCTGTCTCTGTGCCTGGCAGGGGGGCCCTGCTGCACAGAGGGAGTTTACCAGTCGGGGGCAGGGCAGCCCCTCTGCACCAGCCAAGCTGGCAGAAGGCAGCCGTGGTGCAGGGGGGAAGTCACGGCTCAGTCGAGGTCTCAGCTGAAATAACTGGGGAAAATCCTGGAAAACATTAAAAAGTGACTGTTACTCCTGGGACCTGCCCATTTCAACAGGGGAAAGGGACCCGTGTTCCCTGCCTCCATGGCGTGCTCCTGTACAACAGCTGTGTTCCCTTTCGCTCCAGCCCCCAGCTCCTGCCAGCGGGCGTCAGTGGCCAGAAAGCCGTCTTGAGTCATCCTGATTGCTACTAGCGCCCATGTCAGGGTTATGGAGCAGAGATGGGCTTAAGCCACAGAGCTCAGCCCTGCGCCCTCCGGCTTCTGGGGGGAGCACCGCCAGGCCTATATCAGTTTAAAGAGAAATTCAAATCCCAGGCTTTCCCTGGCACTTGCTTGTCTTTGCCCCAGTAGGCTGTATTCCATGATTGATTGATTTTTACACAGTACCTTTCACCAGGATTCAAAAGTGACTAGTGATCTGGGGCCCGACCCAGCTGCTGCCCTTTAAAGGGGCCTGCTTTTCAGAGAGTTCTGACCCTTTGCCCTGTGCAGATTGGGCCCTTTTTAAGGAATCTCTTGATCGGGAACCCAGACGTGAACCCCAGGCTGATGTAACACTAGGGGATTGCAAATACTGGAAGCAGAACATTGGGGAATTCAGGAATGCAAGAGCAGGGAAAGAGGACATGTTTTCAGCTAAGGCTGAACTGACATTATGGGAGTAGCAGCATGAGTGTCTGGCAGGAGTTGTGGTCGTGCAGCCCAGCACTCCTTCAGCATCTTTGTTAGAAGGGGCTCTTTGGGCTTTACCCTCATGGATTTGTTTCTATGCTTCCCACTGGGTATGACCCCCATTTTGCAGGTGGGGAAACTGAGGCACAGAGCGGGGAAGTAACTGCTGGGTAGCCTTGGGCTAGTCAATTGGCAGAGCGCACTGACTCTTGGCCCCCTGATCTGACCATTAGCTACTTTCGTGCACCCTCCAAATTTGGGACCTGAGCCTGCGTCCTTGCAGCTGATGGCAAAATGCCCATTGACTTCCATGGGGCCAGGCTCGCTCCCCTAGTCACAAGCTTCCTCGTGCACGGCTGTGCTGACCCTGTGTTCTGCTTGGTCCTGCAGAAAGGTGGCGCCCTGAAGAAGGGAGCCATCGCCAAGACGCTGCAAGCCATCAAGATGGTGCTGTCCTACAACCCGGAGCAGCTGGAATGGGATTCTCTGCACAGGACCAATCAGCAGCAGTGTTACTGTTACTGCGGGGGGCCTGGCGAGTAAGGCCCCAAACTTATTACACTGCTCTTGGATTTGAATGTGGCTATCAAAGATCAGACTTCTAATGTGTGTGACATGCCCCCTCCTCCAGTATAACCGAGACCACCGTGTCCCAGTGGGCTCAGCTGGTCCTGCACGGCGGCAGGGACCTATGCTAGCCTTACTTACCGACTCTGTAGCTGATGCATGAGCCAGACTAGAACCCAGCTCCCTCTCCCATAACTGTTTGCTGAGCAGGGCCAGGGAGAGCAAGACAGAGTGGGTGGGACAGAATACGACCAGGAAGCAAGACAGGGCTGCTTCAATTGCAGTCACTGTTTAGATTCAGGTTTCAGAGGAACAGCCGTGTTAGTCTGTATTCGCAAAAAGAAAAGGAGTACTTGTGGCACCTTAGAGACTAACCAATTTATTTGAGCATGAGCTTTCGTGAGCTACAGCTCACTTCATCAGATGTTTACCGTGGAAACGAAGATGATGTCTGTCTGTATCTGTACAAGTTTCTTCATGCAGTTGATAGATTTCCACTCCATACGGCTAAATGCAGTGCCTTGCATAATGACAGGTTTCAGAGGAACAGCCGTGTTAGTAGATTCAAACTGCACTTTAGCCCATACTAGCTGGGCTGTTCAGTGTTAGTCTAACATCACCTTGGCTCGGGGAGGGAGAGAAATGGAGCTAGCTAGCATGAACTGACTCCCTGGGCTGTTTTTGATCTTCGTATCATGGTAGCAGCTGAGATCAGGGCCCTGTTGGGCCAGGCATGGTACAAAAACCGGGAGAGACAGAGCCTGGCACACCGAAGCTTCCAATCTAAATAGACAAGATGGGCAAAGGACGTGTCATTATCCCCACCGTATAGATGGGGCACTAGGGCACAAAGCTGAGGGCTTGTCCACGAACGCAGAGGAAGACTGTTACAAAGTCTGGGACTAGTGTCCCGGTCCAGTACCTTAACCACCAGGCCATCCTTCCTCCCTAGGGCAAGTGTGAGATTGAAGGTCAGTTCCCGGGGAAGGCTTTTTTGAGGGTGCAGTTCTCACCCCATAAGCACATGTCAGGTTCTGAGTTTGCAGCATTTCCCATTCCCCCGAATGTGGCTGCTGAGCATGTTGCCCCGTCTCCAGGAGGAAGGCGATGGGTTGCAGTTTACTCAGCGCTGATGCAGTGGCTCTGGGATGCAAGAGCTGCTTCCCCTTGCTGTAACAACAAGCTGCAGGTGGGAATCCCCCATCTGAAAATAACCCAGTTGGGGAAAGGCACAGAGGACCAAAATAACCATCTAGAGAGCTGCTGCAGGGTGCATTTGCAGTGAGGCTTCCTGTGTGCTTAATTGGGAGAGGCTGCTAAGAAAGCCAGCTGTCCCAGCGAGCTGCTGAGGTGTGAGGTTATCAGTGTGATCAAAATACCTAATCCAGGGTGAAAGGCTGGAACCAAGTAGCTTTAGTTACTAAACTTTATATTTGATAAAAAATATTGTCCGGAAATCCAGATCTGGGTAGCATCTGGGGTCTTCCAAGGGGCCCCTGGTTAAGTGCCCAACTCCCATTGCAGTTCAGTGGGGCTGGTTGACTTCTTTGCCTCCTTCGAAAACTCTGTCTGGACCCCCCTGCTCCCCCTTTTTAATGTAAATGTCAGGGGTGGATTTTTTTAAATATAGCCCTTCCCCTCCAACATTACAAACCCAGACCCATCAGGCCTGATTCTCCACTGTCCTGCGCCTCGCGCCGTCATTTCCACCAGTGTTGAGGGGGTATGAAATTCTGCCATTCCCATTTAGGGAGCGTTGCACACCCATTTTGCACACTTACTTTGCCCTAGTGTCAACGCCTGCCCAACATGCTGCGCAATCGAGAATTGCCTCCATTTGCCTGTAGGGCACCATGTATGGCAAAGGTGATCTAGTCCTAATGCACCTCACACCACCTCTGAGAGTGTTGAAATCTGGTCTCTCTTCCCAGATGGTACCTGAAGATGCTGCAGTGTTACAGTTGCAGGCAGTGGTTCCACGAGGCCTGCACACAGTGCCTTAGCGACCCCATGATGTTTGGAGACAGGTACGTCCTTCCTCAGCTCACCCTGTTGTTTTGTTCCATGCATCCCTGAGGGTCGAGCCAGAGTTGTGCATTGGTCAGTCTATTTCCTCCCCCAGCTGACTGTTAACACGCTCACTGATGCTTTGGGAGCAGCTGGAATCAGTGGGGTTGTGTCCCTTCATCCCAGGCAATCAGGCTTCCTTCAGGTGTCCTGGGAATTGCTGCTCGGCTGAAATCCTGGCTGATTGCTTGGCCAAAAGCTGGTGGATTACAGCAAGCAGCGGTCCGGAGAGAGCTGCCACTTTGAGTTCACTGACTGAGCGAGTGTCTCCCTCTGTCTTGTGTACATGGACACTCGGAGCATGGCAAGCTAGGGTGCAAGTCTGCCCTGCACTAGCCTGCGAGCACTAAATGTCCATGGGGACCCTGCTGCTGCGCACTATCAGTTCCCGAGTGGGATATGGAAGCACCCTGGGGAGCTGTTTGTGTGCAGCAGCGGGGCCTGCGTGGACACTCGGTGCATGGCCGGCTAATGCAGAGCAGATCTGCACCCCGACTTGCTGCGGACTAACTGTGCGTCTGGACAGGTTCCAGGTTGTGCATTCTCTGGCTGTGTGTGGGGAAGGGGGGTCCTTGTCCCTTTGTGTGCAGGGTGGATCTGTGGCTAGGAGATGGCTCCTCACTCATTTCTGACCCCCCAACCTGGTACAGTCAGGGCGTGTTCTGGCCAGCAGCCTGCCAGCCAGGAGACTGCCAGGCACAGCAGAGAGAATGGCTTTTCTCCGATGATCTGAAGCAACTGGCAGTGCTCAGATGGCCTGGGCCACGCTGGGGCAGGCAGAGGGGAGCTTCAGTTCCTCTCTACGATGCCCTCTGGCTGACCCAAAGGGCTGAATTGCTGGACTCTGCAGTGACCTTCTCTGCAGCTGAGGAAGGGGGCAGGGGCAGGACTCTGAAAGGGGCTGGAGGAGGGAGTGAAGCCTGCAAGCATTGCCCGGGGGAGCGGAGTGACTTTGGCCCCAGTCCGGGCCAGAGGACAACACAGCCTGGCACATGCAGGGGGATGGATTCTACCGCAGTCATTGCCCCACATGGGCACAGAGGATCCTGCTGCAATGCTGAGACCCGCTGCCCTTCGGGGAGGGTGGGCTGGTGGCTGGTACTCTACAAGCCAGAGCCTCAGGCTGTGCTGTTGGAGAGATGATCCCAAATCCACCCCCTTACCCTGTGTTTCTCGCTCTCTCTTTTTCAGGTTTTATGTTTTTTTCTGTGCGGTGTGTAACCAGGGGCCAGAATACATCAAGCGCCTGCCCTTGAGATGGTAAGAGTTGGCGAGTAGTCTCTTTGGGCTCAAGAGGTCAGGGCTGGAACCTGGGGCTCCCAACTGATGGGGCGAAGCCCTGACTCCTTGGCTGCCAGCCTCCACCTGAATTTCTCTCTCGCTCGGTCAGGGACTTTCAGAGTTGTCCCCGGAACTGCAGGGTCTCTGAAGTGCCTCCACGTGGCCCAGGGTTGTAACTGTCCCTTGGAAGAGACATAGCCAAGTAGATGCATGTGCTGCACCAGAGGGAGGTCATTGCCTTGATATTTTCTCCTATACCGGAGCTCTATTTACGGCTGCTGCAGGAAGGGTGGGATCAGCATTGAGAGGGGCAGGGGGCCGGTCTCTCTGAGAGGAGCCTTAATTTGTGGAATGGAATACACAGCAACAAAGCTGAGAACCACTGATCAGCACAGGGAGAAGGCCAGAGAGAAGCCAGTGTCTAATGGCTTCCTTTCCCCTTGGTGCCCCTTCGAGTGCGGAGTGAAGTGTCTTCAGCTGTCACTTTCCTCTGGGAACTTTCTGTGCAGTTCGGGGGTGGGAACAGAACTCCGCTCAGCCCATCTGGCTCTCTGACCAGCTGTTTGATAATCAGGCATAATTTATCCTTCCTGGGCCTCCTGGCTCTCCCCATTCTGCCCTGCATGCAGCAGGGCCTGGGTTATGCTGGAGGAGGATGAGAATGTGGACATCCCCAGGGGTCCCCTGTTAATGGCATCCCCATGCCCGCCTAAGCTGCACGTTGAACTGAAGCTGCGTCTTCATGCAGTTACTTGGCCCAGGAGACTGATCTCACACTTGTTTTTAAAAATCAACGGGCCTGGCTCTTAAAGGAGCTGAGCAGCTGCAATCCCCCCCCAGTGTGAGCGGACTCAGCCCCGCCGAACGTCCGGCTCACCATGTCCTGAGTTCCAACCTAGTGAGCATCCCTGGGTGTGGGCCACTTTCCCCGCAAGCTTTGGGGATCTGTGTGGAGGGGGTATTTGCATTTTATTGGTGCGCCCATGATTTATTTTCTAGTTTAGGGAGCATTAAAATGTTTCTGCCCCTTCTGTCCTGACCTGCTCTCCCAGTCCAGGACTCCACACACAGCTTTGTTGATGCCCCTTAATCCCAACCTGCAGAACTGCTACCCATGTTATAATCCTGCTGATGCCGGTCGCTCTGGGCTAGCTCAAGATAATCTGGGATTCAGTGTGTGATCTTCAGTGATCAACCTATGCCATGCAAGCTGGAGCATGGTTCAGTTCCATAGGGGACTAGGCCTTGCATCTAAAACTGGTGTATGTTTGTGGAGTCAGTTAGGGACTAGTGGCTGGAAGTTTCCTACTAAACAGAAAGCGGATGATTTGATTTGTGCCCTAAATGGGGAGGCTCCTGACCTTCCACTGGGCTCCATAACCGTGGAGTTCTTGGTCAAAGGGAATCGGCTTGTCTATCATCCTGCATAGTACTGAAGCAGGAGCCTCACATTGGCATTTCACCCTCTCCCTGGTGCAGGGAGGTTGCCAGGATCTTTGCAGCTTTGGAGGCATCACCTGAACTGGCCCTGGCTAGTTCCGTTGTGAGCCTCTTTTCTGACCTACAAGCTAACCCAGGGCTTCTCCTGAGCACACCCTGCTCCGGGAGTCAAGTTGTGTGGCACGGATTCCTATGGAGGCTGGACCCAGGCTGCATGCTTGCCCTGTTGTATGTGAGCCAAAATACATATTTGCCAGCAGATAAATCACCCAGGTGATCTGGCCACATGTCTCTCCCTTTAGTTAAGGGATTAAGTGCAAGTTTATATAGCAGAGACCTCATAGGTCAGAGGATAAATAACACTTTCCCCTTCTCTAGTGCTTCTTATCTGCGGTTCTCAAAATGCTTTACATGTTTATATTAATGAATTCCCACAACCTGCCACGGTGAAGTCGAGGATATGCAGACATTGTTTAACCAGCCACTGAAATGCAGCTTCCTCTGGGATGAAATACAGTAGCTGTTTAACGGGGTATGCCCCTACTGTGCAGCTGGTTTAGAACAGGAATAGAGGGATACCATATATCAGGGGTCGGCAACCTTTTAGAAGTGGTGGGCCGAGTCTTCATTTATTCACTCTAATTTAAGGTTTCGCGTGCCAGTCATACATTTTAACGTTTGTAGAAGGTCTCTTTCTATAAGTCTATAATATATAACTAAACTATTGTTGTATGTAAAGTAAATAAGGTTTTTAAAATGTTTAAGAAGCTTCATTTAAAATTAAATTAAAATGCAGATCTTATCAGTTTAGTGTGATCCTTGCCCTTGCTTTTCCTTGCTGAGTTTTCCAATGTGTGGCATGTATTTGGATACTTTAAGCTGCACACAGGCTTCTGAGTGATCAGTTGTTAACCGACTCTGAGAGGGACAGAGGACAGATTTCATGTGTGAAAATACCTGTTCACACAGGTATGTGGATCCAAATGCTGAAAGCATTGCAAATGCAATTTTCTTCAAACAGTTAAATTTCACTGGCATGGACATAGCAGGTCAGAATAGAGGCCCCATGATCTCTCTCGGTCGCTTCAAGTGCACTTCGCAGATCTCCAAACTTTGATGCCCACAATTCTGAGCTTTTTAACTGAATGAGCTGCATTTCGAAATCTTCAACACCCATCCACTGAAATACAGACAAATCCAAGTTGCTTTCGTTGAACTTTTCAGGTTTAATTAGAAAAGAAAGCATTGGGCCAAATCGCTGGAAATCTTGAAATCTGTCAGAAAATACTGATTCCAGTTCTTGCATGTACATTCTAATCTCAACGTCAAACGCAGTGCGCTGTTCCATGTGGCATGATAGTGATGTAAGCAGCAAATCAGGATGTAAAACTATCCCAGTACAGTGGCGCTGAAATAATTTTTAAGGTGGGGGTGCTGAGCTGTGCCCCCTCTTGCCCCTCTCTGCACCCCTCACTGCCCCAGGCTGGGGCCGTGGGCCATAGCTGGGGGGGCGCTGCAGAGCCCCGGGCCGGTGGTCAGGACCCCAGGCCGGCGGCGGGCTGAGCGGGGCCGGCGGATGGAACCCCGGCTGGCAGCGGGCCAGTGGCCGGTATCCCAGGCCAGCAGCAGAGCCCCGGGCCGGTGGTCAGGACCCCAGGCCGTCGGCACGCTGAGCGGGGCCGGCGGATGGAACCCCGGCTGGCAGGGGGTCAGTGGCCGGTATCCCAGGCCAGCAGCAGAACCCCGGGCCGGTGGTCAGGACCCCAGGCCGGCGGCGGGCTGAGCGGGGCCGGCGGATGGAACCCCGGCTGGCAGTGGGCCAGTGGCCGGTATCCCAGGCCAGCAGAGACCGGTGGCCAGGACCCGGGCAGTGTGAGTGCCACTGAAAATCAGCTCGTGAGCTGCCTTCGGCACACGGGCCATAGGCTGCCTGCCCCTGCCATATATAACTGGAGACGTGTTTCCAGGGAGGCAGGATGTAAACGCAGCCAGCACCTATTTTCATGTGACTAGGAGCCTCTGTGGCCAGCCGTCAGCCTCCTGCACTTTGTTTTTCAGCTAACATTTAGATCATCCAGGAATCCCCCTCCCCACTACCTGAACTGCAGCACTGAGCATGTGACTGAAACTGACAAAAAGCCAGGAAACTAGGAATGAATCCTGGCACTCTGCAGGTTAGCCAACTCAGTGGGGCTCAGGTATTCCAGCATGTGGTAAATCTTCCCGCATGCAGAGCCCCTTGCAGGATTTTGCCAAACAGGTCAACCTAACAGCCACTTAATCCTCCTTTTCCTGGCTCCCCTTTGACAGATTTAAACCAGCCCTTTAGTTATTCCTCTAATCCACTTTTGTGCATGTGAAAATACAATGGAACCTGCTATGACTCTCCAGACTTGCACAGCAGCTACAATGGGACGCTCTGTCCACGTCCTAGACAGCATCCCATGCTGCGGATTAACACAATCTGGTCTCAGGCCTTCTCCATAGTGCAGGCTGCACCTCTGGGTTTCCATTCATGTCTAGCGAACAGATCACTGAGAGGACGTATCTGCTACTGTCTGCAGAATGGCAATTCCAGGGAAGGGACAGGCAACTTTCTCTCCCTGCTCTGCTGTCAGCCACGTAGAAATCCATCCATCAGACCCCCTGAGCATCCCAGGGGTTACTTGGAGTAGGAGCAGAGGAGAATGGCAGGAGTAGGGAGAAGGCAGCTGCCATGGTGATGGCAAAGCCAGAGCAGGAAGCTCAGGGTTGCAAACCTGAAGTAAATGCAAGTCCATATGAAAGCAGCTCCTGGCCTAAGTGGGGCCTGCTCTTAGCTGCTCTTGTTCCTTTGCTCCCACAGGGTCGATGTTGTCCACCTGGCCCTCTATAATCTGGGCGTGCAGAGCAAAAAGAAGTACTTCGACTTTGAGGAAATTCTAGCCTTTGTAAATCACCACTGGGATCCTTTACAGCTCGGAAAGGTAAATACATGGGGCCTGGGATTGGCTCTGGGAAGGCAGCTTGGAGGGAAGGCTAGGCGGCTGCAGGGGAAGTGACGCATGGACCATCCACCCCTTAAAGCCAGGAATGCGGCCTGGCTGACTCCAAAGAAAATAAGACCAGGGTTTATTTGGGAGCCTCTGTTCCTGTCTGCTCAGACAGCAAAAGGGGAAGCTCATGTGTGTCACTCAGAGAGAAAGGTGAATTCAGGTGTGTTTAATAGTGAAATCCCGTGGTGATAAGCTGTGTCTCTTTGCACTCTGTGTGTCTCTATTAGTGGGAAGGAGCCATAATGCATTTGAATGGTGCTCGTTTGCAAAGGAGCAGGGGGCGGTCACCTTTCTGTGTGCTTCCTTGAGTGGTACAGTGTAGGAAGTATAAAACCGCCTTTGCCTGACTCTTCCTTGGGGGTCCAGGGTGGTTTGCCACAGTGGGGTGGATTTTGTGGCTCTGGATGGACTTGGTTTGTTGCCTGCTTCGAAGCAAATTGTCAGCAGGTGTTTGTACAAGGTGCCCGGGCGCTGCGGGGTTTGTTATAATCGTTTAGTCAATGACTGTGTGCAGGGCAATGGGGGAGACAGAGGGCACCTGGCTGGGGCATTACCAGAGCTTGCAAGATTGACCTCTCGTTCTGCCTGCCCACGGAGCACACACTGTACCCGCCTCACTCTGCCAGCTCCCTGGCATGGATTCCATCCAGCAATTCTCTGGCTGGCAGAGGAGCTGGGTTTTACGGGTGGAAGGTGTTGATTGTAGACCTGCTGTAGTCCCCCTGGCAGCTGACTTGTTGGGCAGGATAGCTGGTAGCTTTCCAAAGAGCCTGGGAAAGGGCTGCTTAACCATTGCAATACTGCCATGTGTCCGAACCCAGTGGTTCTCAACCAGGGGTCCGGGGCTCCCTGGGGGGGCTGTGAGCAGGTTTCAAGGGGGCTGCCAAGCAGGGCCAGCATTAGACTTGCTGGGGCTCAGGGCAGAAAGCTGAAGTCCCACTGCATGGGGCTGAAGTCGGGGGCTCTGAGGAACTTAGCTTCACAGTGCCCCCTGTGGCATGGGGCCGTGGGCAACTGCCCTGCTTGCTACCCCTTAATGCTGGTCCTAGTTTTTATATGCAGAAAACCAGTTGCTGTGGCACGGGGGGGCCGTGGAGATTTTATCGCATGTCTGGGGAGACCTCAGAAAGAAAAAGGTTAAGAACCCCGGTCCAAACCTACCCAGGTCAGCCTCGTGGCGGTGTGCGAGAGCTAGAGAGAAATGGACACGGCTAGTTTCACTGTCCAGGTCCAGTGAAGTGCAGGAAGTAAATGCAACCATCATTTGTTTAAAAAAATAAAATAATATAGAGCAAAGCAAGAGGAGGGATTTTAACTGTCTTAGGAACACAAGTGGGGAAAACCCAGCACGCTGATGTCCAGACAATAAACACTGCCTGAATGTTTGCATCCTGGAGGTCGGTGGGGTTTTCTTGACTGTGCATTTCTGAACTTTATGATCAAACCTGCTTAGACCAGAGCAGAAAACTGTAGTTCTGAATAAACATGGTGACACTAACGAGCTCTCTAGCCAGCGTGTGCTCTGGGCTTTGCTGATCATCTGTTCAAGTTACTGAAATGACCTTTTGGCCAATGCTTTATCCCAGCTGACCAGCACTCCGGCCTCAGAACGCGCTCCACACCTGCTCAATGCACTCAACAGCTACAAAAGCAGGTGAGCCTGGGCGAGGGGACTGTTTGATGCAACATTTCAGCTTCAGCAGGTGTGGGGAAGTTGGAGGGGCTGAAATGACTGGGTTTGCAGAGTTTAGGTGTTGAGGTAGGATGGGTGGGAGAGGGGAAGAGTTGGCCATGAAGACTCCCATTCAGCGCTTAAAAATCAATAGCTCACGAGGGGATTTGTATCTTGTGCCCTCTAGGTTTCTGTGCGGTAAGGAAATCAAGAAGAAGAAATGCATCTTTCGCCTGCGAATTCGTGTCCCGCCAAACCCCCCAAGCAAGCTCCTGCCAGAGAAGGTACCAGGTTTGGGTGAGAATGGAGCTTCTGAGCTGAAGAAGAGAGGAAAAAGCAAATACGCCCATAAAAACGGGTCTGTGTCCACGCTTTCACTTCATACTATCCGTTGCTCCTCCTCTGCATCTGTCCTCTTAAGAAAACTGGCTTCTCCATAAACCGTTTGAGCTTTCCCTCCATAGAATGTCTGCTTCTGTCTTAAACTCTGACACAGAAATGATAAGTCGTGGGGTCCCCTAGGTTATGCAGCATTCCCCAGTTCTGTGCCAGCCACTACAGTAAAGCAGCTTTCCTGGGCTCTCTTGATAATTGTCTGTTTCACAGCATACAAACAGAGAAATTAGATTAAAAACATAGACACTCTTGCTGTACGGTTGCAGTAAAACATTATTTTATTCCTTAGAATTCAGAACACACAAGAACCCCAAAACAGAGAGAAACAAACCAGGCTGCTCCATAAAACAGAGAGGCCAAAACTCTCACCACCTTATTGCAACTGGCTCTCTGCAAACTGACTACTAGGCCTTGGTCTCACACTTCTCTCTAGAGCCCCCTAGGCTGCAAGCAGGAATAGGATTTCAAATGACAGCTCGTAAATTTTACAGTTTTCAAAAGACCACACTCCCCACCCTAGGTTTCTCCCTGGCTGCTTGGAACCAAAGTAGACATTTTCTATACACCCCCCTCAGGCCTGTTATGTGATTTACAGTCTCCCAGCAAGTCTGACTCTCATTGTTCTTTGTTTGTGTTTGTTCTTTGCTTTCACAGTTTGCTGCCTCATGAATTTCAACAGCAGAAAAGGCGAGTTGCTAGAAGAAAAAGATCAAAATTTTTGTTGGAGGATGCTATTCCCAGTGTTAGTTTCTCGCTACTCTTTCTTTTGTTACTATCCATGATGTTGTTTTTCAGGGTTGAATTACTGAAGTGTTTTGCTTCCTGTTTTTCAAACATGGAACTGGGCACCATCCTTGTGCTGCTGCTACTAACAGGCATTTAGGAGGCTTGAGTGCTTTCTCCAATTTGCCGTTTTTCCATCCGGCATGGCCCGCGCACTCCCCAGGCAGAGATGACTAATAAAGGCAGGATCAGAGTGCTAATTGAAAGTTTGCCCTTCTGGCCACAAACCAGCCTTCTGATGCCAGTAACAAGAGGCTCAGAGCAGGGAGTTCCAAATCCATCTGTTTAATCTGTGCCCTCGGGGGAGAAAGAAGACTGATGGGAAGGAGGAAGTGTCTTCTGGTGGCTAGAGCACTGGGATGAAAGTTGGGTGTCTCAGGTTCTGTTACAGGGTTTGCCACTGACGTGCTGTGAGACTTGGTCTCTGCCTCTTAGTTTCCCAGCATGAGGTGTAAAAATTGATTAAACCATTGTAAAAGACTTTGACATCCTCAGATGCGTCAAGTATAATTGTCCCCCATCCTTCCAAACGCCCTCACAGCTTCTCAGTTACAGACAAGAACCAGGGAAAATGGAACCTCAGCTGGCATGGGACATTTTATTATTTTTAATGGAAAAGGTGTCTTTAAAAAAAGAACCCTCAACCCTCCAACTCACAACCCTCCAACTGCGCCCAGCTCCGACCAGCAGCCTCCTGCATGCCCGCTCTGCAGAGGGGTAAGGGACTGTCCAAAGCACAGGTCATCTCAGAGCATGCAGTAGATGGAAGCTGGAGGCCAACGGGGGTAGGAAACGCTGGCGGTGGTTGCTCACGCCGAGTCGTGGCCTGCTGTCAGCTAATAAATATACTCCTTTTTGCAATGCAGAGTGACTTCGCCTCGGCTTGGAGCACAAACCACCACCTGGCCAGCATATTTGACTTTACACTGGATGAAATTCAGAGCTTAAAAAGGTAAACGGCATATCTGTCCCGCAGGGCAGTGATGCCTGATGGTAAGAAGAAACCATGCCGGGTCCCTGTGCATGCGTCTCCACTCTTTGCCATGCCGGGGGTAGCCATCACTGTGGTTCAGGGGTTGCCCTCTTCATTCCCTCATGTGCTGGGGAGAGGAGAGATGCCTGAAGGTGAAAGATGTTTGAGGGGCTTAATCAGACAAATCGGCAGTACCGGATTTATATGAGGAATCAAGATTCTCAGTGAGCACCAGCTAATCTACTTGAGCCCTGTTGGGAAATGGAAGCAGGGGGATGGGAAGCCCTTGCTGGCTGCTGGTGAAAGCCCTGTCTGGCAGGTCTGGAAGTCCTAGGGGTCTGCACTGGTTACTATGTTCCTGTCTGACTTCTGGGTTTTTAACTAACACAGTGCAGGCCCCCCAGGCTGTCCTGATAGGGACGCACACTGCTGCTCTCCTGAATGTCTCTGAACGGGCTGCATGTTTTAGCTGGTGTTCTGTTTGGAGCCGGGTCCTGTACGTACACAGCAGGGTGTCTGCTACCGACGCAGCCGGAAATGCTGGGCTCACACAGTGGCTGAGGTCTGGCCAGGATTGACTTCGGTCTCTCTCCCTTTCAGTGCCAGCTCAGGGCAGACTTTTCTTTCTGACCTGGATTCCACAGATGCTGCCAGTACATCTGGCTCTGCGACAACGAGCCTGTCTTATGAATCGAGGTAAGGGGAGGGGAATGGCTGAGACTAGGTTCTTGCCCTTTGATTTTGCATTGATCTTGACTACGCTTGACAGCTTTCTTTTAATTCCCTTTGTTTTTTCCAACCCCTGACGTGATCCTCATTAACTCTTCATTCACCCTGGCCTTCCAACCTCTGGCTTAGGTAGAGTTAGCTCTTGATGATGATGATGGGTCACTGGAAGTTATCCTGGACTCCTCTCTTCCCTGCCGTCTCTCTCAGTACTGGGCAAGCTGTCTCCCAACTACTCTGCACTCACAGTATTTCCAAGTATTGCTCATCTTTCTCTGTCTCTGCCCTGACACTAAGCAAACCAGACACTGATTAACTGGAGACCGTCCCCAAACATACATGCCTGGCTGCAGAAAAACCCAGCTTCTGTTTTTTAAAATCTCTTCACAAGGGTACGCTGCAAAGGAGCTGGTCCCAGGTGGTCCTCGAGCACCTGGCAATAAGGATTCCTGTGTGCTTGCCTTAGAGACTCCGCCCACTGTATAGCTGATGCCCACAGCTGGCGGCCAGTTTGTTCAGTGCCTATTTGAGGTCATTAAATAGAACTGCCTATTTTCCTGCCATCTGCTTGGTGGGGTGAGGGAAGCGCTGTGGTTAATGCAGAAAGGACTGTCCCTCATTTCTCGGTAAGCAGAACTACCCTTGCTTACCTGGAGCTGATGGGTGTTTTTACATTCATAGGGATAGAAAGACTCATTATTAATGAACTGGCAGCTTTACTGAACACGTCCACTCTGCCTAGCCATCTCCACGGGACATCTCCTACCCTGCAGTCTGTTCTGTGCATAAGGACTCTTGTGGCTGTGCAGATTCCTGATGAAGTACTTGGCAAAAGCACTTCGCACAAATAAATGGATTAAAGCTCACAAGCCCCATGGGAAGCTGGCATTAGCGTCATTGCAGAAATGGGTCCATCTAGGCACCGATGGCCATGTTCAGAGAGGAGTACTAGGATATGTCTACATGGCAAAAGAGACCCACGGCAGCGAGTCTCAGCCTGGGTCAACAGGCTCGCAAGTCTTGCACTATAGGTCTAAAAATAGTGTCGATGTTTGGACACAGGCTGGAGCCCAGGCTCCGAGACCCTCCCCTCTCATTGGGTTTCCAGGCTCTGGCTAGAGTCTGAGCGTCCATACTGCTGTTTTAGCCCTGCAAGCCTGAGCCACTTGACCTGGGCTCTGAGACTTCCTGCTGTGTTGGTTTTTGTGCCATGTAGACATATCCTTAACCAACCTCAGGGAGTCTAAGACAATGTAACTTCAACCTTCTTCCAGTGCCCGAGTTACAGAAGTAGTGAGCCCAATTCAGAGATGAGTCTGATACAATAAACAATCAGTGGCAGAGGCAAGACTAGAGCCCAGAAGTCCCAAGAGCCAGCCCCAGGTCTAACCACTAGACCACATGCCCTCCTGTCCTGTCACTCATCAACAGAGTTATCCTAACAAGGGGAGCTGCCTCTCTTCCTACTAATTTGAGCCTTGGATTATTAGCTCCTGGACGGTGGCTAATGGCTCGAAACCTGGCACTTCGCTTCTTGGTGCACGTAAAGTCTCACGGCAGCTGGGACGGGAAACTCAAAACCAAAACTCGCTTTCATTAGCAAACATCCTCCCTACTTGGCTGGCTCAGTGCTGGGTCAGGAGCCCTTGACATCACCAGGCATATGTCTTGTCTAAGAGCCAGCGCTGCTGCATTGTTGTTTCCTTTTGCCAGCATTTCTCTTATCCCCATCCCCTTCTCTCTCTCTCCCCCCCAGCAGAAGGAACGTGGGCAGCAGGAAACGAAAGTTGGCGGCTAAAGCCTACGCCCCAGTGGGGGGGAAGAGAAAAGGCATTGAACAAGGTGGGCCCCTGAATGGCTGCGCCTCAGAGAGCAGTGAGGCGGCCTGTGCCCCGGAACGCCAGGATGACGGGATTGACAGCCACACCTTGGAGAGCATCAGCGAGGACGACTCCTCCCTCTCCCACCTCAAGTCCTCCATCACCAACTACTTCGGAGCAGCTGGCAGGCTGGTGTGTGGGGAGAAGTACCAGGTGCTAGCCCGCAGGGTGACTCCGGAGGGCAAAGTCCAATACCTGGTGGAATGGGAAGGCACCACCCCATATTGATCCCTCTGGCTTGGACCAGCCTGGGGAACCTCTCCTAGAATTAAATAGATCTATCAATCAAACACCACCCATGACCTAAACCAAAAGAGGCAAGGGATGTGGATGAGCAGGGCTCCCGTGCTGGCCGTGCACCGATGGGAGAGAGCTTTGACAGCTCTCCTGACGCTTACAGTGAGTTGTGCAGGCGAGGTTTGAAAGGAACACTTACCGGTCTAGGGAACTGTGAAGGACTTAGGACAGGGTATAGCAGAGGCAGTTGGACATGGCAATTACATCCAAACTTACTGTGAGCTGTGGCATCGGGTGGCTAAAACTGATAGAGTTCTTGTTTTTAATGATGGTTATTTTATCGGTCATTTGTATATACAACTGGCATCGCCTAGTTACGCTTCCCCGAGGGACCCTTTGGCTAAGCCAAAGGAGCGATCTTTGTGGAAGAGAGCAGTTAATGATATGGCTTTTCATTGTGATACTCTGCTACGCCATAGAGGCATGGTAGGCCTGTCCGAACCACCCAGCATCTGGCTGATGTCTGATGGAGTAGCTCTTGTGTTGCGAGGAAAGCAAAGAGGGAAGTTTGAGTGGAGAAAGGAAAACCAATCTGTATAGAGCTCAAACCATCATCCCCTCTAGTAACAATAAAAATGCTCTTAGGCAGAAGAACCACATCTAAGTCCACCAGTGTCTTACGATCACATACGAGCCTTAAATAACAGACCAGATTGGTCTTATTACTAAAGCAGAAAGCACCTACGTAACCAGTTCTATAATGCCTAAGCGCCCAAATATCACATTCTTGTGCTGATAGAAAATGCTGGCCAAAGCAATTATATAGTATTTACCTCCTCATCATAGACCCATTCATTAATGGGATATATACATACGTACACTTTTAGGCCATTCACTTCCAGCCTTTCCAGCCACCGGATAGATTTACATTACAGTTGCTCTTGTCCCATGATATTAAGATGTCAAAGGATGCAGCAGCTCCATTTGCTTATTCTTTTGACAATCACAGTCTTGGAATGAATCAGACAAATGACGTGAGCTTGCCTTAAAACCAAGGAGGGCATTGTTTTGCACTGATGGCATCTTAACTGAAATGGAACCATGGGCATTTATTTTTGTAAAGATCATTTTGTTGAATGCTGCCAAATGAGTAGACAAGCCAAAAAAACCAGCCAAACAAAAAGCAAAACAAAGGAAAAGTGGCTGTGTCTCTGTGAATGAAAGAGAGATGTTTGTGTTGGGGGAGGGAATTTCTGTTGCTGCTGCTTTTGGATACATAACAATACATATTGCTGTTTGTATTACCTGACATATACCAGCTGAACCAAATCTTTCTACTTAGCACTGCATGATCTCTGTCTTTGTTGCTCTTGCATATATAGTGGAAGAAGAGGATGTAGCCTTGCAGGGCAAGGAAGGGGAGGCAATGCAGTAACTTAAGAATCGGAAGAACGAATGTAATAAATTATTGGAGGGCGAGCCATGTTTTCCATTATTGGGATTCAGAAAGTGACTTGCTAAGCTGAATTCTGGGATTCAGTTTGCCTACCCAATAATAAAAAAATTGCCACTCTTGTCTAATATAAAGTGATATTGTCAGGTAGCTTAGACACAATCTAGGTTGTTTTAAAATATATCTATACTTTTACAAACTCTAATATCAGTAGAAATGTTTTAGATTTTTCTTTTAAACATTCAGTGAAAAGTTATCCACACTTTATAGCCTGGTGGTGGAGAACCCAGAGTGAAACTGACAATAAACAAAAGGGACAAGGTGGGTGAGGGAATATCTCTTTTTATTGAACCAGCTTCTGTTGGTGAAAGACAAGCTTTTGAGCTGCGTAGAGGTCTTTTTCAGATGACCTGAAGTTGGTCTGATACAAGATACAACTTCACCACACTTGTCTCTCTAATACCCTGGGCCCAACCTGACTAGAGCCACACTGTGGATAAACAACAGTGAAACTGACAACTCTCCTTTCATTGTCCAAACTGAGTGAAGTGCTAAAATTTAAACATCATAAAGGCGAAAAAAGCAAACTAGAGTTTGCAAATTCTTTCACCTTTATTAATCCCTAAAGGACATGGTTTTAACAGTGTGAATGATTTTATGACCTGGCTGTTGCAAGATGAACTGAAAAGCTCATTTTATTGAAAAAACTTTATTTAAGATCCTCAGTCAATCAGCGTGTGATTCTCCCCTAACTGTCACGGATGTAAATCAAGAGTTCAAAACAGGTGAGAGGAAAATTAGGCTCCATTTTTAAGCAGAAATCCCATAATAAAAGCAGCATTTCTTCACTGGCATCCAAATGAATGGCACAATATTGCCTTAACAGAACAGGTTAAAGTTACAAACCGAAGGCCAAATTATATGATCCTTAACAAAGTAAAACTCCCATTGACTCCATTCTTCAAATAACACCGTGGATAATCCAGGTTGTTGGGGGGTAGTTGTTTTTAATTGTAGTTTCCCTCCCCCGCAAATCTGAATTAAGATCTCTGTATTTCTGTAGTCTGAGTTGATTATATGGGTGAGACCCAGAATGGTGCATACAGCTCCTTGCTGTCCTTTGAGTGTTAGAGATTTTTGGGCCGGATTCTCACTGGATGCACCAGTGTAAATTTGAAGTATTTACGTTGCCTTCAGTGGAGTTTTTCAAGATTATCCCAGAGTAACTAGGATCAGAATCTGGCCTGTTATCAGCTGCTGTAGCAGAAGCAGATTAGTCTGAACATCCGTTGTAGCAGGGTTTTTTTTTAAAAAAAGTCTTTCAGTTAATCTGTCAGAAATGATCTGGCGACACCTCGATGGAAAAGCTGCCACCTGTTTGTAAAATGTGGAGTCTGTCGTTGGGACTGGATTTGAATCCAGCGAATGGAAACTGTGACTTTAAAAAGTCGATCTGTAGTACATCTCTACTGTTAAAGTAACATCTCACCCCTGAGGCTTGGTCTACACTACCGTCTTATGTCAGTATAGCCCCATCGCTCAGGGGGGTGGAAAAGCCACACCCTGGAGCGCTGCAGTTATACGGCTCTAACCCCCGCTGTCGACAGTGCTGTGTGGACGGGAGAGCTCCTGTCAACACAGCCAATGCTGCTCAGGAAGGTGGAGTTCCTACGCCAATGGGAGAAGCTCTAAGTGCTACAGTGGCATAGCTGTGCTGTCAGTATAGACAAGCCCTTAGTCAAGTGCACAGAAAGCATTATAAGACTCTCCCAATTACGCAGGTTTTGAGTGAAAAGAAACTGACTTGGCTCCTGAACCTGCATCAGATCTGTGAGGGCATGTGCCCATGGGTCTGCTTGTGTGGATCCAATTGTAGGACTGGGGTCTTTCTATGCATAGCAGTAAGTTTTTTGGTCTCTTGGGACATGATCCAAACCCCATTGGAATCAATAGGAGTCTTTCCACTGACTTCAACAGAGTTTGCGTCAGGCCGTATATAATTTTATATACTGCAGCCTTTGAGCACAAAAGCTAGTTGTGGGTTTTTTTGTTTGTTTTTTTGCTGTTTCCAAAAGCTAGGCTTTTTTTTAATGATTCGAAGTACTGGAGCTTTTTCATGTCCTGTGAAATACATAAGTGCTTTGAATGCAAAGAGGCAATATGAAAAAGAACCTTTATTGAATCTGCTCCTTGTTTTCAGCACATATTCAGGAGCCCCAGGAAAACCAAGAGATTTTGAGGCTTTCAGCTTAGAAATGATCAGGGGTGGGAGAGGGGGGACATAACCCTATTCCTTCTGTATTTGAAATGTAGGCATTAGAGTTGGGTCAATACCCATCGCCTTTCAGAGGGGAAGTGAAAGAGACAAGACCCTGACTCTGCCATGAGCTCCGCATCACTTGTCAACTTCTGTAGGTTCTGCCTGTATGGAGCTTATAACATGGTTGGGGAATTAGTATTTAAGATCTTAAATCAGAAACAGAATACATGTGCATGCCGAAATTGCATGCAACTCCCCTTGAAAAGACAGTAGCAGAAAGTCAGTTCCTCTGTTACTTACCTGCCAAGACGAGAGAAGTTTGCAGAGCTGGGGTCCAGGGGTTCAGGCTTGGCTTAGAGCAGTGTGGGGGACTCAGCTCCCTGATCTGCTCTGGGTGTTGGTGGAGTGATCAGCTGATGCGCAATGAATGAATCCTGATCTTGCCAGGTGAGGCCTTTCTGTTCATCTCTCAATTGTGTTTCCTCCCCTTTGGAAGCCACAGAATAGGCAGCGCAGTGACACCAAGAGGCTCAGAAAGCCATTGCACACTTCAGGAATGTCCGTGCCCCAGTGTGCTGCGGGTGTATGCTTTTTATTTCAGGCCCTGCAAACCAACCAACCAACCTTCCCCACCCCCACATCTATTCCAGAGTGGGGAATGTGGAGCCTTTAAAAACGCTTTGTTCCAGAGGATGTGTTGCATTAGTTCTAATAGATCTTATAATGATTCTGTGCACCTTCTAAAGATTTATGATGTCAAGTTGCTGCTTTTAATAACCAACTTTTGTTATATTCAAGTTGTAATTAATATGTCTGATGTACAATTAAAAAGTCTTTTTTAACATCACCGGCTCTTTATAGTATCCATTATTAATCATGTGGTCGTGAACCCTAGAAACTAGGCCCTACCGAGCACGACTCGATGGGTTCTGCTGTCTGGCTTATGGAGAGCGGCAGCTTGTCTGTCTCTGGGATTCTAAGGCCGGCCACCAGAGTGAAACCGCAGGGTTAAGGTGCAGAGTGGCACTTTTCAGCAGGCTTCCGCTCACTTGCCTTCAGGGGCATGTAGCATTTGAAGGCTGAAGTGCCTAGTTCTCAGAAGATGCAGGGCTGCTGAATATGGGACAAGGCCAGAAGGTACCTCCCTGGACGTCTTCCTGTTGGAGATCCGGTACTTCCCTCTGGGCCTTTTGAGCCCTCCCTTGACTTGCATCCTGTGTGTGGATCAGCAGAGTCCCAGAGAAGGCTCCCTTTGAAGAGTCCATCAGTATCATTCCCCTCCTCAAAGGGTCACCATACGGCAATGGCGCTCGCTCCCCAGTGGAGCAATGCTGCCCTCACAGAGCTGGTTGCCTGGTCACTGTGGTTTAATTTAGGCCGGATACCCTCTCTCACAGAAACCTTTAGGAGCTGATGGTGCGGGGAGGGGGGTGGAGGGAGGAAACCTTTTCGCTAATTCTTCTGTCTGGGGAGGGGGGTCAGTCCTGCAGAAGAAGCAAGATCCCACCCCAGAGCCCTGCAGCTCTCGGATCCATTGGAGGCCCCGAGCCAACCCCATGGATGTCCTCTGCCTCTTAGGGGATGGTACCATGGCTCCGTTGGAGGCTCCGGCTATACTACTTCCCAGGGACTCCTACAGGTACGGGGGAAATACGCCACCCACTCAATCCTTACTTGCGGATCTCGCGCTGTGGAGGGTTAGCTGCATGGACAGCCGCATGCCGATCAAGCGGACGAGATGTGACTCTCGTTTACAGCATTGCCAACTCAGTTTTGTCATTAGTCACTTGATATTTGGGTTTTACTTAAAGCTCCGTCTCCTGGCGTGGTGACAATCTGTTTTCCTTTCTAGATCTTCTGTGTATGGGGAGGGAAAAAGCAGGGAAACTTGTCCTGAATGCAGCCTGAAGACTCAGGTACCAGGAAAGCAAAGCAAAGAACCCCATGGTTATTATTTTTCTTTAAATATCATGATTTTGGGGGTCTGATCTGTGATTTATTTTTTGAATACTTGGGGTTGGCAATATTGTCAAAGCCATGCATGGCTTTGGCTATTCACCTACAGTATGCTTTTCCTCCCTGCCTTCGCTCCTAAAGCACTCTTGGGTGTCTGCTTGCATTGGTGGATGGGCATGCTGGACCAGGAGATGCAAATCTACCAGATAGCCCTGACATTTAGGTTTTGTGCACAGGTGGGAAAAAAACCACTGGCAACGTTTGCTGTGCTTTCTGTTATTGTTGAGTCAATTCTTGCCCTAGCAGCATTTGCAAATTGATCATTGCCGCACTCTGCTACTGCATAAGAGACAGAACTTGACACGGGCCAAGATTTCTTTATTGGCCAAGTTACCTACGCTGCACCAAATAAAGAAACAACATACACGGTGAAAAGGCAGTTTGGTTATTAAAATTCTTGAGCAGATGACCTCAGGGGTTATTAAACACACACACTGGGCATTCTAAAAGCTCGGTCAGTGTCAATATACTTTTCCTAGTACCTGTTTTCTAATAACAAAGGTGAAAGTGTCATTCTTCACTGCTACAAACTGCTCTGAGGTTTCCTTTCTTTGTTCATTACTTTATTAGTTGGGCTGGTAGGATGCTGGATCTCCGTTAGTAACTATGAGTCACTGAACATGGATAGCTAACACTGGGCATTTTTAATAAGTTGGAACAGAATACGTTGTCTTTAAAGATAGCATTACTTTAGCTAACGTGTCCCCTGGGGGCATTTTTCAACTGATCACATACATTGAAATGAACTTACCTATGGAGCTAAGACCCTCCTTTGCTTTTTTGGGGTATTTAGTTGGCTGGTTCATACATTTTTTCTATATTCCCACCCAGGAAAGTTTTATTTTGGAGCTAAGTGGGCATATGAAGGACGGAGGGAGCATATTTGCAAGCTATGTATCCTGCTTAGAGGAATTATTTCTCCACCAGTGACATGCTGCCATCTCTGGGTGAAATGCATAAATTGCACAACTGTTCAGGCTAGGATATAAAGAATTAAGAATTTTATTAAGATGATGTTAAAATGGTACAGAGTTTAAGCATAGAAGTTTCTGGTTATCCAGGAATAAGGTACAGATTATCAAGGGGTGCAAAATTAGGTTTAGGATTGGATGGCGTAAGGTATACATAATCTGCCATATCCCCAAGTGGGGGTAAAAGGTTAATGGGTGAAAGTACAGACATTGAGATATGGGGGTATGTTCAGGTGTGGAGTATAATGAGTGGATACGATGATGAGGATGGATTACCCTCATTTAGTGAGATTTAATGTTCAGTGAGTTTATGGTTCCAGTTCATATGGTCCAATGGAAAAAGTCTCTTGGTCCCTTTCTCATAGTTGATGCATGATGTCGTTCTGGCTCACACCTCCTGGTACTGTCAGTGGCTGGGGATGTGTTCGATGTAGACGTCCCTGGACCATCGGATGGTGTCCGAGACCATAAGGCGCCGCATGAGCCATGCGTAGTGTCAACCGATCCCACAGGTCAGCAGCACACGCTCGTTGCAGGGGTCCCCGACGATAAGGCGTCCATCTGCACCTCGTAGCCCTTTGCTCTCAGGGTGTCGGCCAGGGGGGTGTACTTTTCCAGCTTACGAGCTTGGGCTTCGCAAAAGGCCGGGGTCCTGTTCTCAAAGGAGACCGTGACGTCGATGAGGATGATCTTTTTCTGGGCCTCGGCGGTGACGACAACGTCAGGTCGCAGCTGGCTGTCGGTACACTAATATCCAATTTATTCTACAGGGGGTATTGAGGGAGCCAGAATGTAACAACCAGTTTATTCTAGCACTAAACAGCTGATTAACCTAGGGTTAATCCTACTGTGGCGATAAAGGTAGCTAGAATTTTTTTTTTCAATATGGCATTTTAAAGAGTGTCCATGTATTTGCAGCCAACAGCTCATGAATACATACTTTTGAAATAAAAATAATATACAGGAGTCCAACAGAAGCAGCCGGAGGCATTAGGAAACCCGATGGAACCCATACTGGAATTTGGCTCGGACACTTGGGCTAGAACAAAAAGGGTCGTGGGCTCTTTAATTACAAGTGGTCAGGACCGTGGTTTTATGATTCATCTGAACAGCAGCAGCCCAGCTGTCCCACTATCACTATGAGGGCACATTGACTCAGAAGATGGCATGCCACCCGCTGAATTCCCAGCATCGCTCCCCGGGGCGCCAAGGGGCTCTTGGTAGTTCTGTGACCCAGCGTGACCCTGCTTAGCGGTGTAATATCTGACAGGACTCCAGCGGTGCAAGGGGCTGTAGCCAGTATTACTAAATATGCTGTTTGTTTGTGTATTTTCTAGCTGTAAAACAAAGGCCAGCGTGGAAAGACCTGGTTCTCAGCTTGGGGGAATTCAATGTTTATAATCAACAATGACGTCGCATATCCTATTAAAAGAAACAAAAGCCCTGTTTCCTTGTGGTGTGTGAGCTAGAATTCTGTCAGCTGATGAAAAGGAGCAGATTAGAGATGCATTTTTTTCCTATCCTGGATTATCATACTGTATCCTGCATGCTTTATGTATGCAGCATTTTGGAGAGGAGGCGTCTGATTTACAGCAGCACTCATGCGCTTTGTGCTGTAACAGGATTAGTCTGCATAGCTCTGGTCCAAGAGGCTAAGAAATGTGGAAAATCCTTTAAACTAGACCATTAGGCAAGAGGACCTTAAAGGGAGCACTGAACTGAACGGAGCTGAGGTATTTTAACCATTAAAGAGCCAGCATTTCACTCTGAGTTTAAAGAGTAAGCTCACACCCAGTTTGGACCCCAGGAGCTGGGGAGACAGAATTACTCGAGTTTATTTCAGACTGTTTTGTGCTTTTCTTTAACATGTATCTAGGGCACAGGGCAGAGGGCAACTCTTTACAGAGCAGGGATGTAGTTTTGTCCTGAGCTGCTGGCTTGACAGCCCTGGAGTCTGACATCCTCCCGGGCTTTAAAACAGCGGCAGTGGAGGGAGCAGCAATCAGGGCCTCTTGTTCAGGATCGAGGCACCAGCAGAACTGCTCAATCTCCATAGTCCAGTCCATCCTTGACATGCTGTGAGGCTGGCCTGCTGTGTGAATGTACCATGAACTCTTCAACTACGTCGCTGCAAAGCTCCTATGTCAGCTAAGTGCCCCAGAGCGTTTCCTCACAGTCAGACTATTAAATGACTCACCCGTTAAAATGTCCCTGCCCTAGGACATTTTATTTCACCATGAAATTCTAAGGCAATTTGCAGGGTTCACGGTACAAATCTGACAAGGTATAGATAGACCTTTACTTTGGCTGTGATGTCAAACAGCGATCCTGCTCACTTGTGCTCATTAAACAGCTAATGGCTCCTTTTTTGCAGGAGCAAGGGTGTTATCCAAGTGCTCTGCCAGTATCCCACTAATTGCATTTTGCACTGGAATGTTCACAGGACCTAAAAAATAAACTGATACTAGAAAACAAATAGACCTGGCCAATCTGCCCTTCAACCCCACTAATAATCTCTCTCCCATTTTCAGGTTGCTGGCCATTTCTCTGCAAATTAGCTTTAATTCCGCAGTTTAGCACATCCAGGGCCCATTTAAAACCACAGCAAATTGCCAGAGAAATCTCGAGTGACACCAGTTGGTAGGAGCTGTTGCAGGTGATAATGAGCACAGGGAGAGTGATGTCACTACTCCTGGGCACATCTCTCAATTAATTTCAGACCGTGCAAGTTTCCTCCCCCGACTTGCTCTAATATGTCTTTGGCTTCAAGGGAGTAGAGCCCTTCAGGCTCCACACACTTTACTCCATCTCTGAGCGGGGGATGGCTCTCCTTCAGTGTCTAGAGCCAGGCTTCATTTAAAGTGCTCTTGGACTGGCAGATGCATGCAGCGGTGGTTCCAGTGGTCAGGCATTCTCCAGCGCTGCATTCTTTGCCTCAGCCCTGATAGCGTCTGCCAAGCAATTCCAGCAAGGCCAGCCCGGTTCTGCTTCCTTAGGGTTAATCTGATTTTAAACACAGCTTCAAGTGACCCAATTTCTGCTCTCATTACAGACCCCTTCCCCTTCCTATTGGCCCCTTGCTCCCTCAGTTTTATCATCCCATGAACTGTCCTCCCACCCCACAGCACTGCTGAGGTCTTTGTGTGCTAACTGAATACTTTACATTCAGGGCAGAGACATCAACTGACACCTGCAAAGTGCTACACCCACCAGCAGCACCACAGGCCTGAGCCAAAGCCCCCTGATGCCAATGGAGAGACTCTCATTGGCTTCAATCGGCTTTAGATCAGCCCCTACGTGAATTAATAAACCGCTGGCAGAACTGACCAATGGGAGCAAGAGCAGGCCCAGGCTGTAGTTGTCACCCACAGCCAACATTTTGGCAGTACAATGTCCAAAAGTCCTCATCCTTCTCAAAGGGACCCCTCTTTCCTGGTGGCTTCACTGCCAACATTGGCCCACGTACTCGAGGGCAAAGCATGCTGCAGAATCCACCCCCTCCCGCACACACATTTCCCTGGAAGATCAATGCCAGAGCAGGACTGCCCCTCTTGGCCCAACTGACCTTTTCATAACCACAAAAGTCTAAGAGCAAACCAGGCATCAGGAGTAAGAAACGCGTCTGTTTCAGATGCATCAATTACTACATAGTGCTCCATAATTTACAAGCCTGTGCCTCTGTTTGCAGTGTTACAGGCTGCCAAGGGAGAAAAAGCATTTGCTTTAGTCAGAGGGAAGCTTTTGTTGGGACCAGGTATGTCAGTTTGTCTCCTTAGCCTGGCAATGTTGGCACAGGCCTGCACTGGATCCCTGCTGCCTTTAGGCATCGCTATACGCTCTGGGGAGCATTAACTCTTTGTGCTCTTCCCAGAAGCAGTAGGCTATTGTCAGCTGCGTCCCCCAGTCCCACCCCAGTGGGTCCTTGTTTGCGCTGCCCGGGATCCTTTCACAAATGTTCAGTGGGCCGCACTCTGAATGGCTGGCTGTTGGTAAACTGCCTCGGCTGCCCTGTCAGGATACAAAGCAACATGTTGCTGCAAATGGTGCTGCACAGCAGGAGATGATGTGAGCTGGTGCATCATGGGATGTTTTGCTGCATCCTGATTTACATTCATTTGGGCAGGGGGGCAGAGGGCTCGGCAGGACCTTCCCCATCTTTGGTTCCCCTGCTTTGCCGCAACCCTTCTTCAGGGGGCAGACAGACCAATGGTCACCCCTGCTCACCGTCACTGGGGCTGCGTATGCTTCCTCTGCAGTGCAGCCAAACCCTGACAGCCTGTGGACTGGAACTCTGCTCCTTCTCCGTGGATTGTGTTGCTGGGGCCCTGTCATGTGCATTTTCACCCTCTGGTCCTATAAATAGCCAGAGTCTCCCTAGGAGCTCACATCCCACCACACACACCTTTGCAAACTCCACTGTTCACAACTTTGGAACTATTCTTGGACAACATGTGCCCTTTCTCCGCTTCGGGCTCTACTTACGATGTGTAGCTAAATGCTCAGTAGAACTTAGGTTTACACAAATGAGGAGTGTCCGTTAAACTGTATTTCAAGTAGGAGGCAAATTCCAAATCCCAGGCACCTGTGCTACCTACATTCCCTTGGGGTTTTATCACCCTCGGTATGTATGCACCAGTCCCGCCTGCAGTGAGAAAAGACTAGAGCGCCAAAGCAAATGTCCTCTACCCCTGACAGGAAGGAAACGCTGGGTATGTCTGGAGAAGGACAGAATGGTGCATTCCAGCTAGTCATCGGAGACACCTTCTTCAATCCATTTTAAATAGAGGGGGTTTCCTTGGTCTATAGGCAGGCTGATAAATTCAGGAATCTCAAAAGGATGCAGGAATCTAAAATGGAAAACACACATAGCCCCCCAATGGGAGTGGATCAATTCTGCTGTAGGAACAAGCTCAATTTTACTTACAGCCCCAAGAAACGTGAAGCTTTCAGTTCACAGGAGCACCTTTCAAGAAGGGCCTCCAGAGCTTTGCCTCTGACTTCAAAGCAGTTCCGTGGCCCTTCTCTTCAGATCATGTAGATTCAAAATCCATGAGCTTTTTGCTGTGAGTTTGGGGTTTAAGTAAACACAGCATCACAGGGTGGCTGGCCCCTTTAAATGAAGGTGGTCCAGCGCCTTTATGTAAGTACAGCTGTTGCCAGTTTGACCAAGAAAGTGGAAGGGGGCAGCACCTGTGGGAGGTCCCTGATGGAAGCAATGGTAGGTGGGTAGCAGGTGGACTGCCTGCAGAGTGGTTTGCCAATTGATCTCTCCAAACCAGAGGAAAGGCCAGAGGGCTGGAAAGGACTGAAGGCAGGAGAGCAGCAGCGGGAGTTGCCTGCTGGCTTCCAAGCTGAAGCCAAGCACCAGGGAAGGCTGAAGGCAGGTAATCAGCGGAGCGGCTGATGTCTGCACGTTGGAGAGCTGGAAACAGAAGGGGCCAAGGGCCAGGGGAGCAATGGAAGGGCCTACCTGCTGGCCTTTCTGAGATGAGAGGTTAATGGAACCAGGGAGTGGCGGATGCTACCCTGATGAAGAGGAACTCCCAGCAGAGAAGCTGAGGGCGGGCAGGCTCCTACTGGGAAGAGTGGAGTGGCACTCCTGCTGGAAGGACTGGGGTGGCCATGCTGGCAGGACAAGAGACGACTGAAGAAGAGCCTGGTGTGGTGGAAGATGCTGGACTATGGTATGTGTTACACTGATGGGCTAGATGTTGGGGGATTCTAAGGACTATATGCAGTGGGTATGATAAATGGATGTGTTTTGTGATTGATTATTTGCACTAGGTTTTGTAACAAATCCGCCCCAAGGAGGGGTGTTATTGAGGTAAGAGGGTCTGTTGCAGAGTCCCTAGGGCCCCAAGAAGGGAGAAGTGGGACAGTACCACTTCCCTTCTTGGGGCTGGCAGGGAAGAGAGGGAATCATTCACACATAGGAATTGCCAGACTGGATCAGACCAGTGGCCCATCTAGCCTGGCATCCTGTCTCCAACCATGGCCAGTATCAGATGCTTCAGAGAAAGATGCAAGAAACCCTGAAGTAGGCAGTTATAGGGTAACCTGCTTTAAGGCAAAGTTTCCTTCTTATCCCCCCATTGTTAGAGGTTGACTTAACCCCTGAAGCATCAGGGTTGATATCCTCTCCAAAGCTCTTATTTATTTACTATGATGACTCTCGATATTCTTGTTATCCATATCAGTGGCTCCATATAATTGAATCTTGATAATTCAGTGATATCTTGGGACCGTGAGTTCCACAGGCTAATTTTTCATGTTGTGAGAAAAATATTTCCTTCAAAGGTATGACTAAGAGCAAACAACTCTGTTTCACCTAGTTTTGCACTGATTCTGTGAATTGCCTATGGCTACAACACAAAAGCTGAACATCCGTCCATGTTGGTGAACCTTAGAGAGTTTTTTTTGAGGTATGTGGACTCCATTTCAACCAGAAACCAGCTGGGTTTTACTTAGTTTTTCATTTTAGTGTGAGCTTTGAATTGATATGGTGTCTGTGATATTTGGCACATGCAGAAGCAGTCCACGAGCTAAACGACTACACATGGGTGTTGGGAGGAAGTAACTGTCCTCTGACTGGTTGAGTTAGAGATGGCAAATTTAGTTTAGGGGGAAAATATCATTTGCAACAGGCAGGAGCCTCACCTGATGTAGTCTGATAATTCACTTATTTTTGACGTCCTTGTTTTCACTAACTGTAAAAAAAAAAAAGAAATGAAGTAAAGAGAAATGTAACCCGGGACAGCTGAATTGTTCTCACACCCGATGCGTCCACACTAGTGCTGACAGTATCTACTTTAGTTCTCTTGAGGGAATTAAAGTCACTTAGGAAGTCTCATACCAATATTATGGCATATGCAAATTATTCAGATAACTTTGAGCTAGGGAGATGTCTGAAATACACCAGCACCTTCTGCAGCAGGATGTCTGGCAAATCACTTAATCCCTTTGTGCTTCAGTTTCCCATCTGAGAGACAGTGTGGCTTAGTGGCTAGTGAACTGGACTGGGACTCAGGAGACCTTGGTTCTGTTCCCAGCTTTTTCCATTGGCCTGCTGGGTGACTTTGGACAAGTCACTTCACTGCTCTGTGCCTCAGTTTCCCATCAGTAAAATGGGGGTAATGACAATTACTTCATTTTGTAGAGTGCTTTGAGATCTACTGATGAAAAGCATCATAAAAGAGCTCGGTGTTGTGTGTAAAATGTAATTCCCCTGCCTTGTCTGTTTAGACTGCAAACTCTTCAGAGGAGGGACTCGCTCATTCTGTCTGGAAAGTGCCCAGCACAATGGGGCTGGTGCTTCTAGCCACATACACGCAGGAAAAATGTTGGCTTGACAGCCCCGCTGAGTAAAGTAAACGTTGACCCCTCCTTGCCTGCTGCTGTGCCCTGACCTGAATGGAACCTTCCCGAAGTGAGAGTCCAGCCTACTGTGGCTCATTGAGGCCAGGGTCTCTCTGCTGGGGGTTTCTGTGATGCGGACCCCTGTCCTCAAGGAACTGGAGAGAGAACCTCCAAATCCATTTCACACAGTGCTCAGACGGTACCAATTCTTGGCCACTACTGCCCTGAGCTGGAGCTGTCCCCGCAAATCCTCATAATAGTTGAATTAATCGTAGGTGAGTGTCAAAAATGGGACCCCTCTTAAAAACATGTGTCTCTACTAGATACACAGGACCAGACACTTACTAGAAGTATTTCAGTGGCTTCTTCTATTTCTCCTTCCCAAAAATACCTAGATGTAAAAGAAGAAGAAAAAAGAAATATAGTAAATGACTGCAGCCCCATTTATACTGACTCGGCATTAAAATCCATTTAAGACAGCGAAGTGCTTTGAGATCTGCTGAAGGAAAATACCCTGTAAGAGCTAGGTATTATTATTGTGTTTTGATTTTTGCCTGTTCAGTGCATGCTACAAGGTCACATTTCTTTATTTTGTTCTGTGTCGTTCTAGAAATGTCACGTTTTCAAATCATTTGCTAGGGATTTGACTGAATAGGGGGAGTCACGAACTCGGCAGATTGCTTGCTGAAAGCTTTCTCCTGTGCTCAGTAAGGCCCTGGTCCAGCACAGGTGGACCCTTGCAGCCATGTGGAGCCCCACCGAGGTCAGTGGTGCTCTGTGCTGGCCCAGGGGTCTGCCCAAGCAGAGCGCATTGCAAGTTTGGGAACGAAGTCTGGCTGTTTGGACACGGTAGGGAATGAACGCCTTGGATGAAATTTATGGGCAAAGAGGCTCGCTTCCCAAGCACACTAATGGGCTTTGTAAGCATGTACTAAGGGTAGAGAGTTCAGGGGTAGATTGTCTGCCTGAGCCTCGTGTCTGCAGAGCGAGGAGAAATCTGGCAGCCTGTTGCTGATCCAAGCATGGGGAGAGTCGCTGAGGTACCAGGCAACTGTAAGCATTTTAAATGACTTCCATGTCAGAACCCCCTTTGGATGTGACAATCTCAAGAGCAATCACTGCATTTATGAAAAATGAACGTTTATCACACTAGGCAATGTCCGGCTGTTTGCCTGGGACTAGGGCTACACAGGGGAGATGAGGGCTCATCTGTAATGTTGGAGTGGCCGGAGCTACCATGGGTCAGGATTGAGGTGCCCCAGCAGAACTGGGCGGGGGGAAAGATTAGTAGGGGAGTCTGAACGTCAGGAATGAGGGGAGTGGGCAGAGCTATGCTGGGGTGTGGACCGGCAAGGGAACAGCAAAGTCTGTTGCCGGGGCTGTTTGGGGGGCCCAGGACTGGAATAACGGGGGATGCTATAGACCAGCAGCTCTGTGTACAGCACATTGCATGGCACCTGCCCATACTAACCAGGGCTATATCGGTGTCTCTTGTAGGAAATCTAGAAAGGAAGTAAAATGATTGCTTGATAGCTGGCTGAACCCTACATGTTGGCGGCTGGGGAATAACTCTCTGCAGAAATGGCTTTCACCAAGTAAATGATCCCAGCCCCTCTTCTTTCTCACTGACTGACAAAGAGCAAATCTCCTTGATCGCACTCGTGCCCTTTTAGAACAATTCTCTTGGCAGAATGCTGCCATCATGCCACCCATGTGCCTGGAGCCTCAAGCCAGAAGTCATCTGGAGGCGTCAGAGAGGTTAGTGATCAGCAGCTAGGGGCTCAGCTGGCCTGGGAAGGAGGAGGCTAAAACAGCTGTGTGCGCATATGTGTGACCTGGATCCAGCCTTACACGGATTATCACACATCATTCCGAAAACAGAGAGGAGCTATTCACAGGATGGGTCTGCAGGAGTCGAGTTCAATGGCATCACCCCGATTGAGACTGCCCAGCAAGAGATCGATGTCGGAACAGAGACTCCTGAGATGGGGCTGGTGAGCCCAGAGCTACCGAGGGGTTAGTGGAGTGGGAGAAATGTTAGAGAATTGCACTACTTGGACCAGCTCTGCTTGGAGCGCTGTTGTTCGGCTCTACCAGCCAGGTTAGGAACGGGTGGGTAGAGCCCCAGATAGATTTGTGGCTGGTGGGGAGCTGTGTGGTGCATTTGGGGCCTGATCCAGAGCCCACAGAAGTCTGCCTTGGAGTGGATGGCTTCATTGGGCTTTGGGGCAGGCCCTCAGAGAGGAAGGATGTTCCTGTGGCTAAGGCACTGGAAATGGAAGATCTTTGTGCCAGTCCTGGCTCTGTGTGTGTGACCATGCACTAGTCACCACACCTTTCCATGCTTCAGTTTCCCAGCTGTGAAATGAGGTTATTAATACGCCCCCCCCCCCCATTTCTCGAGCTTCATTCTGTAATGACAAGGTTTCCGATCTGTGGGTGGAAGGCCCGGGATGCCTGTGAGTATTGGGGCCAAAGGCTGCCCCTTCCTACCGTCTGAAGACCTCAATTAATATTATAAGTTTAGGTCTCATGAAAGAAGCAACCCACATTACATCATGGTGAAAGACACTAAAATCCTCTTTGTGAAGATTTCTATTCCTAAGTAACCAATAAACAAATGGCCATAGGCAGGCATGTCTTCCATCCACCCCCTATTCTTAATATGCTTAATGCACTGTGGCAGTACAGGGGTCACTCTTATCTCCCTGTCTAGCAATCGGAAAGCAGTTCAGCCTTCTACAAATAATTTGGTCTCCCAATTGCATGGTTTCATTGGCCTAATCCTGAGAAGTCCTGAGCCAGTTGTGGGTGCATCGGCACCTCTTGGGTTTGCTATTCCTGGCTTAGGCTTCCATTTGCAGACAAGCATGTGTATGTCCTTTTGAGGAACGTTCAGTGCAACTCACATAGACGAGGCCTTCGGCAGGATATTCACGCAGGCAGCCAGCTTTTTATCCATAATGGCCCTAAACAGAACAGACAAGGTGAGTCTGTAAATACACGGTGCTTCCTCCACTCCTAGCACCCTCCTCCACCTTGTGCTGGGAAGTTAACCTTGAGCTGTTTCCTCCAGTGACAAGCCTTGACATCAGGCACGAGTTATGATTGTTTAATCAGTTTCCAGCAGAGATTAGCTCAGCCTGGCTCCTACTGGCTCAGCCAGGGGGAGGGTCCCTCCAGGTTGCTGCTGATAGACCCTGAAGATTCCAGCCTCAGTGCTGGCCTGGGGAAAAATGCAGGACTTGTATGACACAGATGGCAGTCTCAAACGTTAGCTAATGAAACCTTGCACCATCCCCATGATGTATCAGTCTTATCTCCATTTTACAAGTGGGGAAACTGAGGCTGAGATTAAGAAATGGAGCTGGGATTAGAACAAAGGCGTCCCTGACTCCCAGTCATAAACTCACACCATGAGACTCTGCTTCTTGCATGCACAGCAGACTAAAAATCATCAAATGTACTAAAGGTTTAACAACATCGGCCTTTTCATACCAGAAAGTTATTAGAAATCTGAAACCCAAATCCATTCCTTCCTGAAATTTTCCTCCTTTGGTTGTGGACTAGTTTGTTATTGCAGGGCTGCCAGCACGTTACATCTGGGCTGCCAGCAGAAGTGAGCAGAGAAGCAACTGTGGGGGAGGGTAGGAAGAGGGCTAGGAGTACTAGGTCAAATGTTGTGCCTAAAATTGGAACGATACAGAGAAGATTAACATGGCCCCTGCGCAAGGATGACATGCAAATTCGTGAAGCGTTCCATATTAAAAAACAAAACAAAACACCTCACCAGTGTCTCTTCACTTTTGGAGAGACCATCAAGCTTGTTTCTTTTGCACCTTCTGCCCTCAAAATTGTGGTAAATGTTTTTTGAAGGCATGGCCCTTTTAGACTTGTAATTTGTTTTCCTTTAACTCTGGCCTGTGTTTTGTACTTAGCGCTATGGCAATGAAAACATTAAACTCCTAGCAATTACACTTGAGTCAAAAATATGACCTCAAAATTCCGGACGAGGAGGCAGGAGTGACTAAAGAATGAAAGAATAAATCCACCCAGCTGTAGGAATTAACCCTCAGTGGGTTTGATGGTTAAACCAACCCTGATGTTTGTACACTATTAGCTACTTCAAACCAAATAAAACAAACCTGTTTTGGCTCTGAGCAGGTTAAAAATATCACCCTTACATCCAGATTATGATATATCCTAGGTGGGTTTATGAAACAACCTATATCCCCTAGTGAATCTTTTATCCTTAAAGGAGGATTTCATGTCCCAAGCTGTGAAAATACCATGTGTAGATTGAGGACTGTACAACATCACAGGGTGACCTGCCCCAAATGCAACCTAAATCAGCACAGATAGTAACTAACACGTCAGCTGTCTGAAGACGTCCAGGCCACAGTACCAGTATGCAATTTATGTAACGGGTTCAAATCTGGCACCTAACCCATAAAGCAAAGCTATTTAAATAGCCTGGGTTCTCATCTGGATTTTCATAAGCTTCTTTTCACATCTTTATTATTAGACTTGCTTTGTCTGTCTACACAGTCCACAGCCAGATCCACGAGACAATGGAGGTGGCTTGCACCACCCTCCCTGCCGCAATGCAGGACCACAGACTGGCCTCTCCTCTAGTAGCAGGAAGGAAAAGAGACAGACCGGTGGATGGGGGAGAAAAGCAGCTCCACTGCCTTCTTCCCACAGACGCTGGGAAATCCCCTCCGTGGCACAGCATCGGGCACTGCAGAGGCGAGACACCAGCGTGCAGTTGCTCTCCAGGCCATGCTTCTCTTGGGTCTAGGCTGGTTCCCAGCAGTTACTTCTCCTCTGTGGCTACAAACTCCTGGAGGAACGGGTTGGGTGCAACCACTGCCAAAGAGAGTATGGCAGCACAGCCTTCTGAGGGAGCCATGCCCCAAGGACAGTCAAATAACCTTACCTCTTCCCCAGTGGAACAACATGGGGGAGACTATGAGCAGACTATGAGGATCTGAGTTTTTAGCCTGAATCTCACGCAGCATAGAGTATCTTGCAAGGGGAAAAATGATGCGATCCAGTGACTGGCTGAAACTGACTCAGTGTTGCTATTTAGGTCAAGGTCATATTGTCTTATCTTACTAAGTGATTTGAAGAAGCAGTAACATACTACAGAAGGGGGGACAGTTTTCAAAAGATGCTGCTGATTGCTATAATAATACTTAGCCTTGTTCTCCTCAAGGTGCTTTAAAATACTAATTAATCCTCTTAACCATTTAAAGTAGGTAAGAATTTATCCTTCCTATCTCAAATTTACAGAGGAGGAAGTTGCCCCTGAGAGATTACATGACATACCCCAAACCACACAGGGAGACGCTATTGGAGCTGGGATTAGAACAGAGGAGTTCCTGGGAACTATTCCAGTATTCAGGTGACAGCTCTGAAATAGGTGACCATTTCCCAGTAAGTTATATTGCTTTTGTGGAGTCCTCTGCAATAATGCTGAAGGCTAACTTTGGCTCTAATCTAACGAGGAATGTCCCCTGGATTGCAAAAATCTCTTTTAAAACAAGAGAGAGACACAATTTTTATGCAAGATGTTATATTTCACTTTGTTGCAGCAATCAGTTGGCCAGCAGACAGAGCACAAATTAATAAATACTATCCCTGACACAAGTAAGGATGTAAACAAAGCAAAGGTATATTGACTTATGTGCCAAAATACACTGGAGCAGGAAAGTGAAAATCCATTTTTGCCATATGAAAAAGGAAAAACAGGAGGACAAGGTCTGTATCAACCTTCTAACAGAAAATTGCAAATAGCAGAGAAAGCATAATAATAAGAAACTTCTGATGCTGTCCCTTTAAGGAAACTATTTATGTCCTTCCTGCAGAGATTTGATCCAGAATTCTTGCTACAAATTAGCAGGTTAGAAATTGGTCCCTGGGGAGCACAGACTGAGACAGGGAATGCAATATAACTTCTTGTGAAATGGTATCCATTAGGGAGCCATTTAAACTGTGGCTCATGCACATCTAATGTTTAATGTTCAGTATTTATGCATCCATAAATAGCCATAAAAAGCTTTTCTAGGCGATAATCTGTGTCCAGACCGCATGACACAATTTTTGATGCTTGATTTCGCAATTGCTGATGAATGTTTAAGTGTTGGTGACTGGCACAAACCAAGAACACTTGGAGATGGAAACATTTCAGAAGACAAAGGGCATTTAAAAATGCATGTTACATAGCAAAATGTTTTGCTTCTTTACAACCCCTCCCCTCCCACAAAAACCTATCCAAAGGCTTAGGTTCCAGCTTTAAAGTGGCTCATTCTAGTTGCAAATGTGTTGTTTAGTTACTTGACAATGTGATTACTGCTTAAAAGAAAACAAAATGTTACACTTTTTATAGATCCTACACAGAAACTAAGCTGTGCACATGCTCTATACCGCTGGGAAGAGCTGGACATAGAGCTAGCTCTTTGAACCTGTATTTCTTTGCTGTTAAACCAGGCTAAGGTTTGAACACAAACAAAGATTTATCTGAATTATGGGCCTGATCCAAACCCCAGGGGTCTTTCATTAACTTCAATGGGCTTTGGTTCAGGCCTTCTTCTAGCTGGCATATTTTATAGCAGTAAAAATTCTAAATGTACACTGATCTATAAGTTATTTTTGTCTACTGCAGGTATTCTATTAACCTCTAAGTTGTATTTTGGTAGCACTACTATTACATTAGCACTGCCCTATCTGTCTGGCACCCTAAGGGACATAGAACAAAGTTTAATGGCAAAAGTTGACAGTGATGGCGATTCCTGGAGATGAGCAGTTTCTGGAGCAAACTTGTTTGGCAGCTTGACTGGAAGAGGGGAAAAAATACAGCACAGAAGCATGAGGATATGGTGACATTAACACTTCAGCAGGAACAGATTCTGAGCTGAGGATTTTAATGGCAGAAAGCCAAGCTAACTAGCCCCTTGCAACTGACAGGAAGCAGTTCCTAGTTTGACAGCTGTAACATGCCCAGATGTTGGGGACACTGGGGCATGGCCACTAGGTAACTCGGGGGGATGGAAGACCACGAGTGTCGATGAAGCCCCCTCGCACTAGGCCCCGGTGTCCTTGGCCCCCCCTCCTGCCTGGAGGCACTCGCAGCAGCTCTGCGTACTAGGCCCAAGTGTCCTTGGCCCCCCTGCCTGGAGGCACACACAACAGTTATGCTGAGAATCTGCAACAGTATGTTGCAGAGTCAGACTGCCTGAAACTAAGCAAGGCCAAACAGGGGAGATATGAAAGAACAATGCTGAATAAAGCAGCTTTATGTATAGTTTAACAAACGATACAGGGAATCAGGGAACTAGCTGGGAACTGGATTGGCTGGCTATATGGATACTTGGGGCAGCTTGCTATTGGACAAGTATGCTGGGAAAAAGGATGTATAAAAGCCTGTGTAACTTCCTGCTCTGTTGTGCAGGATTTGAGATTTTATTCTCCCTGTACCTTTTTGCAGCTGCAAATAAACTTTTCTGCTTCTCCACCCCGTTGTGATTATTGGGTGTAGCACACCGGGTAACGAACCAACTCAAGCTGTTGTTCAGCCTCTCGGCACTGGGTGCCGGCAACACAGACATTCCAACTCCTCCATGTCTATTTTAAAAGAGAGATGAGCTGAAAGGATGGTTCCGTAATTATTGAAAGAGGCTCCTTACTGAAAGGGACATGACAATCGCTCAGATATGTTAATTTCAGATTACTACCAGATAACTTGGAAAACATACTTTTAATTGGTATTAAATGGAGAGGAAAACTGTATAAAGCATGCATGCCACCTCAGCAAGCAGAGGATGGAGAAAGAAGGGATATTAGGGGAAACCACTGTCTTCAGATTCAGTGATGTACAGACAAGCTCTTAGTTTCAACTGTAAACCCCTACTACTTGTAACATGATCTATATAGCTAATGAGAAAACATAGGTTTTTCCCATGGAAAATCTCAACTTTTTGTTGAAAACCTGAACATTTGTGGCCCAAAACAGCCAACAACTAAAGTTTATAGCCAAAGTCCAAAAATGTTCAGGTTTTTTTTTTTTTTTTTTGACAAAAAAATATTATTTTGAGGAAAGCAGATACTTCCTGGGGAAATTTTCATTTTGTCAAACCCAATTTTCCATCAAGAAATGTTTTGACACAAATTTTTCAACCAGTCCTAATGATCTACTAGAGGTGTGAGAGTTTAGGAGGAAAATCAGACTTTTTTTTTTTTCTAAAAGTCTTGGGTCTGAGATTAAGGTCAATAGGGATTATAGTGGTGAGACACAATCAGAACCACATAGAGAATGTGGCTGATACATTACATGAAAAAAGTTATCAAGCTGATGCAGGTGAAGCATGCCAGATTGAGAGCCCTGGAGACTGCAGCCCTCAGTTAATCCACACAACAGGTAAAGTACCAGGATAAAAAATAAGAGACAAACTTTCAGGCTGCCATGACCACTAACTGATTGGAAGCAAGGAAGAAACATCACCTATGAGAGGTTTACGGGAATCCTTCTACCTTCCTCCAAAGCAGCTGGTATTGGCCACTGTGGGAGACAGAGTATGGGGCTGTATGGCTCCTGGGTCTGATCCTGCAAGGCAGTTCTTATGTGAAAGGGACTGTTCTCTAAAGAGTACCAACAGTGTCCTATGCATTTTACCAATGAGCAGGAGGTCACTGCTGTGCAGAGCTTATAATAATCACTTAATACTGAGGTGTTGTGAGACTTCAAGTTTTTAAAGCACCACAGAAGTGCAAAGTACAATTCCTGGGATATTGTTTGGTCCCCCCCGCCCCCCTCCCCCCAGATTAACTGAGATGTAGGGAACACACGAACCCTGTGGGAACTGTAAATATTAATAAGATGAAGATGGGTGGCTGAAAATGGCTGTATACTTCATGCAGGCTTTGGGCTAGATATTTCATGTGTATTTCTGTGTCCCAGCATTAGCGCACATTTGTCTTCATGCTCTAGACAGATGAAATATGAATAAGCAGAACGGTAAAGAAAGATGTGCACCGATACAAGGCAAAACTGGGGGCAGATGGACTATTCAGCTGTAACCCAGTCTTCTCTTCATAGAAGATAATGATCAGCCTGAAATATTTTTGGTTTAGATTATTTTTGAGGTCACCCTCAGAATGCTACAGGGCCTGATCATGCCCTCTGGACCCACAAAACTCAACTTTCCAAATCAGACACAGGCAGACAAACAAAATCTCCATTTTGTAAAGACTGGGAGACTTCTACTAAGTATCAATTTTAATAGCAATGCAGGGCACTCAGGTTATAACTTGCCCTAACTGGTGTGCCCCCAAAAGGTATTTGTTTACAGCTGAGCTGTCCTTGAAATCTGAAACCCTTTTCTGCCTTTACAAACACCAACGAAAATACTTGCAAGTGGAGTCTGGGAATAAGTACCTCAGTGAGCAATCTAGGAGAAGGATAAAGACATCCATACTAGCAGCTAAAGGGTTTTGGAAAATAAGCTTTCATCCACAGAGCCATTATCACTTAATCCAAATTCCTCTGAGCTCAACTTTAATTCATTAATACCAAGAAAAATGTGAGCAAAATACATGTAAATCTCAGCAATGGGCATGAACTCCAGGGAGTGATTTATTTCCTCTCCCTTCCCTGGAAGAGAAGGAACAAAGACAGAGAATGTTTGCGGAGCTGCTAATGTGTAGCATTTTCAGAGACTAAATAGTCCTCTCACCAGTAATGCACAGTTATTCTTTTTGTCATACACATGAAGTGGTAACACACTTGATACAGTTGCAGTATTAAGGGTGACACAAAATGCCTTTTGGTAGCCCATTCTTTCCTGAATAGCTGTTTGGGAACACTCTGTTATTAGGGAAGAGAGGCAGAGTTTTTGGCAAGCAGAGAGTTAGCAGGGAACAGAGCTCATAAGAGGTGTTGCAGGAAACTTAACGGTCCACTATAAACATTTCCAGTATTCTGAACAGAGCAGCTATTTAGCCATGTAGCTAGGAATTTTTGAAGTGTTCATCATACAAATCTATGGTATATTAAAAATAAAAAAGATCTAGATGTATTTGAAGCCCTTGCAAAATACATTAGAGTAGGGAGGGGCATTGAGTGGCAGATTTTGTCTCCCCCCTACCCCCCTTTTTTTTGGCCTGGTTTTGTTTTGTTTTCTTTATTTTATTTATCTTAGGCTTTTATACTGCCATCCATCACTGTAGCATCTGGGCACTTTCTACATAAAGTCAATAGCAATAGCAAAGTCCCTAGTGGACTTCATAGCAGTCTCTGACACTTTATCCTTTCTAGGGTAGCATCTCTGCTTGGGCTATTTTTGTTGGTTTCTGTTTTGGGTTGGTTGGTTAACTGTTACAGGATTTTTTTTTTCTGGAGGAGTGTTTGGATAGTTGGGGTGTCAGTGTTGTAAGTGTCATTCTTGCTATGGTGATAAGGCTTTTTGAAAGATGAAAGTTTGGTAACATTTCCTCATGCTCTGGATTCACCTAATCTCACCTGAGAAGTTTGTTCCATAGCCAGATCCCCTTGACCCAGAATGATTTGCTCTCCACCCTCATGCAGTGTTGCTGAGCTGTGTGATCTGCATTGTCTCAAAGGAGTTCAGCTGTCATGGTGGTTGCTTGATCCATGAATTGCCTTGAGAATTAGGACTGAGGCCTTAAACTGGCATCTGAAACAGACTGGGAGCCAGTGCAGGAATCTGAGAAGAGGCTTGATGTGCTCACATTAGCCTAGGCCTCGAAGGAGGCAGGCAGCTGTATTCTGCACCAGCTAGATATATATATATATATATATTTACAATCTTCCTTTAGAAGGTTGAGTTCCTACTCTACGGAGCTGTTTGTGGGAGAGAGTTAATGCATGAGTGGGAGAGAAAGAGGGTGTCATGTGGAGAAAATGGGAGAAACCCTCCTCCTCCTCAGAAATAACTACTGTAAATGAAACAAAAAACCCATTACTTCATGACAGCCAGCCTTTGAATTATTCAAGCACAACGACAATGAAAGTGACACTGTACCTTGCAATATCCTTTGCAACTTGTTCATTGGGACAGTTAATGAAAGCAATGGAATGGGTTCCCGAGATATAGCTGCCAGTGACTGCAGAGTGCAGCTGAAGACCTAGACTCTTCAGCACGGGGTACATCAGTAAAGACAGAGTTATTACCTAAAGAAAGCAAAATACAACAGTGAGAATGCCAGGTCAAGTGTGTCCCTCAAATTTAGGTTGTATTTTAAAGAAACCCCAAGCATGTATAGTATGTATGATCCAAAAATAAAGTATCCATTCTTTGTGTTGCCAGTATTACAATAAAGCTTATTATTGTAGTTCAGAGAAACAATGTTTAAAACAAATAAACATTCCCCAGCAGTGGGTCCAGTCCAACATTAGAGCAGTGGGTTTAGTGCATAAATGGGTCAGTTTCAGAGTCTGGAACAGAATCTAGGAGTCTGGGGCCAGCTGCTTCAGCAAGCATCATGCTCAAAACTTGCATGTACAAAAATATCCACTGGACAATCATAAAAACCATTTCTATGTTTTTAAAAAAACAAGAATAATAAAGTACTTCATTGGTGGGATAAATTACATTCCATCCTTTAAACAAAACCAAGAACAAGCTGAACTGACCTTCAGTATAAACTATTATTTCAGACTTAACACTGAAGGGAAGTAAAGCTCTAAGAGTGGGCCGTTAATATACAAATAAGACAACAATGTATAGTTTGGTTGGCTGATCAGACTATTTGTTTTATGAGAAATTGCACAGTAGAGATTGAAGATAATCAGATTTTTATGCAAGCCTGGTATCCAATTTATTGCAAAAGGAATTGCTGCCTTTCTGTCTCCATTATGGACAAGTACAGCAAAAACATATTTACGGAAGGAAATCATAAATCACTCATACAGTCTTTGCATACGATGGTTGTTATAGGCACTGATTTAAAAGCACCCAAACTGAAACCCAACAGTGTCCACTGTTATCTCAGCTGTGTATTTAATTTTCTAGGTCAAATTCATCCCTGGAATAACTACATCTGATTATAGAGCTACTCCATGGATGAATTTGGTTGTGTGCACACTAAGATTAAAGGAACGTTGCCAACTTACATTTAACTCAGAAAAAGAGACAATTCTGGCATGGGTATTTGCCAAAGTAGAGTAGTGTTTCTATTCCGCTTATTAGGGGAGAAATATATGCTCCCTTCTGTTCAGCATGGCAATCATGAGCCTTCATGAAAGTTATATGTACATCCCATGAGGCTGTCCCAGCGAGCAACATTTGTAAATAAAGAGTAATACAATGTTTACAATCCTCCTGTTTTTCCCCCAGACAAGAAGTGAGAAATCTGATGCAACAACACAACTGTTGTTTCCTCAGGTTTGTCCAACAAGTGAAGGCCAAACTGGATTGAAAACTTTGGATTTGAAAACTTCTGGGTTGTTAATCTGAATACACCCAAAGCGGTCAATATTTAAAGTGACTTAGGTTCAAAAACCACAGTTGTGAGATCCTAAATTCAGTGAGATCACTGAAAAATATGCAATTTTGTTGGTGTTGTGTTGGTCCCAGGATATTAAAGAGACAAGAGGGGTGAGGTAATATCTATTATTGGATCAACTTGTGTTGGTGAGAGACAAGCTTTTGGGCTACACAGAACTCTTCTTCACGTTTGTGTAGCTCAAAAACTTGTCTCTCTCACCAACAGAAGTTGGTCCAATAAATGATATTACCTCACCCACCTTGTCTCTCTAGTATCTTGGGACCCACACCAACACTCCATGTAATCACTGAAAAATGTGAGACTGGAAAGTTCTGTGTAGCCCAAAAGCTCGTATAACCTAAGTGATGAGATTTTGCAAAATTGCGAATGTCCTGGATTTTGCAAAATCTCATCACTTAGGTTATGCAAAACAAAACCTAGGACTGGTTTTGAGCTGGGTTTCAAATCCCTGTTTTCAGTGTTTTTGATAAACAACTCTAGTGTTGACGCATCACTAAAAATGAAACCATCATGGCAGCCTTGAGTAGAGCAAGGATTCCTCAACAATGGTGAAAGAAACTTTTTAAAATTACCTTCCAAACAAATGAGAAGTCTGAAAATGTTCACATGGGAATATTTTCCATGTGTGTGTTTCTTTTCTCAGGTCAATTTTTTGTAAGTCTGTCTGGCCCCCCAGTCTCTACATCTGCATCTCAGTAATCACCCACTAGATTAGATGTCTGGGCATCAGGAATTTATCTATATACAGACTGGCATTTGCATGGGTCTTTTTTCTAAATACTGAAAGCGTAAGTTGTCCTGGGATCTGCATTGTCCCAAGACAGAGAATTTTGTACTCTGCTAAGTGCATCTTTGCAGCTTTCCCACAGATGGGGAGAAGTTTGCTGGAAAATGCACTCAGCTGTGTGCAATTAGTGTCCCGGAAAAATCAATCGGTTATGAAGTACCCAACAAAACAGGAACGAACACATTGACTCGTTTACACTCTGCTCTGCAGCATGTGAGGAGTTGAACGGGGCCTGAGGGGGGGTGTTCAGGTGAGATGCCTCTTGCTCACAGATTCATCTTCCCCCAAGCAGCTCCCTCGGTCTCCTTGCCTGCCATGCTGGGCAGCTGCGTGCCCCAGGGACCAGCGGAAACGATCATTCAAAGTGACATCGCCTTGGCCCGGGCACTGTCCCGTACAGTCTCTGCAACCTGCCTGGGCTCACAGCGCTCTGCAGCCCTCCAGGGGTTCACAGCCTGTTGCATCCAAGGGATCCATCTTACCAGCAGCAAAGTGAAGCATCCCGGACGGGTGCAGCTCTGGGCGGCCGGCAGCTGGCAGCGCTGAGTTAGCCAGTCCATCTTCATCCTGCAGTCCAGGGCCAAGGCCGGTGCTGCCAGCCCGTCCCTCCACCTGCTCAGCCCCAGAGCGCTGCTGGGACCGGTGGCCGCGGCACCAAGGCGGGTCTGGCCGGGAGGGGTGTTTGCAATGGTCACGGAAACTCCTCCTCCTGCTGCTGCTGCCAGGGGGGGCCGGTGCCCGGCTCGTGGGCTACCTGCCGCCCGGCCGGGCAAGGCGAGGGCACAGAGCCGCAGGAGCCGCTCTCAGGCAGCCCGAAGGCAGAGCTGGGATTTGCTCGCTTGCGGGAAAGGATCGTGTGCTGCCCGGTCTGTTCCTCGCTCTGCAGAATGCATTACGGGGCCCCCATGTTAGGGTGACTGGATTTCCCAAGGGAAAACTGGACACCGCCTGGGGCTAGGCTGAGGCCCCGCTCCTTGCCCAGGGCTCGTCCCCGCCTCTCCCGGAGCACGGCTGCCCCTTCCCACCCGGGATTGGCGTCGCTGCTCACCTGAGCCCTGCCTGCCCCACACCCGAGCCCTGCCTCCCCCACCCAGCGGGGCTGGCATCCCTGCTACCCCCCATTCCTCCGCACTCCACTTTTATTGACAAAGGGGCATTTGTGCTGTTTGAGCAAGTTGGCAAGAGCAAACAGGACAAATGCCCACTTTCCCCAAAAAGTTGGGACGGCCTGGACAGGGTTTATAAAAGGGACTGCCCCCGCCCAAATGGGAGGGATGGTCACCCTACTTAGTGTGGGCTGGGGGCCGCTGGCTCAGGGAATCCTAGAACTGGAAGAGACCTCGAGAGGTCATCTAATCCAGTCCCCTGAATGGTACTGAGGGTGCAAGGGCAGATGTACGCTGCCATTCTTAGACACAGAAGAATCTGATTCCTGGGGAAGCTTTTGATTTGTAGTTTTAGAGACAGATCCCTCATCTTTGGTCATTGGAGACTCCACAGTACTTGCCCTGAGTCTTGGCTACAGTCCATGCTGGGAATAATAAATTGGTTAGTCTCTAAGGTGCCACTAGTACTCCTTTTCTTCCTGCTGGGAAAAGACATTCTGCCCCTTTAAAAATTCCTTTTTGTGGTTTATGTGAGTCACGCTTCCCTGACACTACTCACGTGAGTAAATCAATCCGGGGTTGGATAGTTAATTAATCCTCCAAACGCTCTTGTAATTAAGGTAAGTATTATTATTATTCCATTTAAAAGATGGGGAACTTGACACTGTGACGTTCACTGGACTTGGCCAAAGCCTATTATGCCCATCACTGTGATATCTGAATGTGAGCAGAACTAGGATGTTTTTAGCTCCCGCCTCCCAGAATAAGATATTTGAATATGAAGGAAACAATGTGCTCAAAGTGCACAAACCTAAGAAGCATTAAGAAAGAAAGTCTCTCTAGCTTTTAATGACATCGTTACCTGTTGACAACCCTGGAGGTTTTAAAAGTTATTTCATGTTACCAATCTCACACACTGTATATCTGCAACCTTTCAGTCAGTTGGGACAATACATCTAGCCTGAATTGTTCCACGTTTATCTCTAGCCAGCTTCACTTTCTCCTTCCCATGCACAAGCATCAGAAAATGTTTTGGATTTCACGCTGCAAGGGATTGTTTGACATTTTAAAAAAAATAACGTTAAAAGTAATTGAATTTGATTTATAAAAAAACCTTTCTAATAATAGTTGGCTCTGTAAAACTTTTTTTTTCTTAAACACAAAGCTGATTGGAAGAAGCACGTAGTTGTGGCTAAAGGGCAGGAAGTAAGCTCTGAGTTCTCCCAGCTCTGCCACTGAATTGCTGGGTGTCCTTGGACAAGTCACTTAACATATGTGTGTGTTTTCTCCATCTGTACACACATATGTTAAGTGACTTGTCCAAGGACACCCAGCAAGTTGGGTTCTGGGGCTTAATTCATGAATATTTTAAAGCATTTTGACATCTTCAGATAGCAGGTGCTATAAAAGTGAAAAGTAGTATTAGGCATTTCAGGCCTAAAACTTTTTGACAATGTCCCTTTAAGAATTCAACTGTTCATGAATAGAGACAGTCACACTATCTCAAACTCTCACTGCATTATGTTACTGTCAGGTCTCTCAAGCGACTAGAAAATGTATTAATCAGCAGATCATTGCAAACTTCTTAGCACAGCGGTCTAAGTCTAGCTTTAGACCAAAACTTTCTACAATTATAGTACTGTACTGCTAACTATCTCATTCCCGGGCAAAGGATGAGGGCCAGGTTACTCTGCTATTGTTAGTGACCTTTTAGAGATATTTAATATCATAGATCATTCAAAACCCTTTACAAAATGGAAACATTCAGGTACCCTCTAAGCTTCATTTGCCTGGCCTATTCCTCGTAGATTGAAAGAGGACACATTTTCCTCTTACTCCGACCTCCCCTGCAGGCACAGACCATCCTCAGCACAACGGTACTGTCAGACTTGCAGGGCACACATGTGATAAGGGAGTGGGGAGAGCCTGGATAAGGAAAGTCTGTACCCCTGCACATCACTTTGCAATGGTGCCTAGGACAAGCAAGGCCAATGGGTCTACAACTGCGTAACTCTACTACTCAATCCCCCCCTCTTCCCCCCAAACAGAGGGCAAGGGAGCAGCTGTGCTGATACTCCACAGTATGGAGGGAGAATTCCCTTCTCCCCCGCCACCCCCAGCCGTAGAGTTTTCCTGCACAGCCGCCGGCTTAGTTATCATCTAATTAGCTCAGCAGCGGATAGATAGTACCTTCATTTTACATTCATCAGCACTTATTTGTTTACTGCCCTTGCGCGAAGTGTAAAGAGCTGAGTTGAAACAAAAGGCAGCCGGTCTGGCCCTGTGCCTTAAGCGAGATGCGCGGGTAGCGGAGAGCTCGCCTGTCCGAGGCCAGCTGAGGCCCTGGGGATGGCGCCCCACAGCTCTGCCCGCGCGGCGAGGGAGGCTTGCGGGAAGGAGCGGGCTGGGGAGGCTGCTCCCTGGATACCCAGCGCCCTCGTGTTCGGGTTTATTTTGTGTTTGACGGAGGCAAGGCCGAGCAAGGGGGTTACGGGGGCTAAGAGCCTGACTCGTACTGGGGAGGATTAGAAGCGCGGGGCTGGCGTGGTGAAGCCTCCCGAGAAGCCACGGCGGGGTGTTGTGTGACCCCCCGGCAGCGGCTGCCCGGAGGGTGGGGCACCCGGCCGCAGCCTGGGGTCTGGCAGCCTGTGGTTGGGCCGCTCCCTGGGGCCCGGGCTCGGAGGGGCCCCCTGCAGCCACCCCTGGGAAGGGGCCAGCGCGGCGTGACGTCACTAACACCCCACAGTGACGGGGGGGGGCGGCGAGACGTCTTCGCACGGCCCGGCCCGGCCACCTCCGTCGCCACCCTGGCCCCAGCGGACCACTTCGCCCTGGGCCTGGCCAGGAGGCCACGGGGCGGACTTGCCAGACTAGTCCCGCCCCTCGCCTGACAGCAGCCAACCAGCGAGCGGCGGGGGCCCGCCATTTTGTTTGCAATTTGCCGGACGCGAAAGGAGCCTCTTAGTTACGCCCAGCGTGGTTGCTAGGGGAGTTCTCGCGATACTACTAGTCCCTCCCTCCCGCGGTTGGGTCCCAAGATGGCGGCGGAGGCGCTAGAGCTCCTCGCCCGGGTCTCCCGGCTGGAGGAGCCGCTGGAGGAGCTGCGGGCCCTGCGGGTGGCGGTGCAGGCCCTGCCGCTGAGCGCCCTGCGGGAGCGGGCGCCCGACATCCGCCTCGGAAGCCTCTTCGCTCTGCTCAACGTGAACGACAGGTTCGCGGGGGCGGCCTGGGCGATGGGGGCACCCGGAGGAGGGGCCTGGCGTTGGGGGTGGGCGATGCGGCATCACTGAGGTACGGGGGGCACCTCAGGCTGCCTCCGTGGACCTGGGGCGCTGTGTGGTGGGTGGGGGCGGGGCGGCGCTGTGGGGCAGCGGGTGTCATGGCGGGGGGGGGGGCGCCATGCGAGGTAGGGACTAGGCTGCTGTGACACATGCTGTTGCCGTGAGGGGGGGGGTGCTCTGCTCCTCGCTGTCGTGCAGCCTAAGGTGCTGGGTGTCCCTGTGGGATAGGGTCCCACTGCCACAGCCCTGGGATCCTGGGGCTCCCTCTGTTCATGGCTCTGTCCCTGAATCATTGTTTGGCCTGTGGCAAATCTCTTCTCTCTGCCATGGTTTCTCCATCTGTAAAATGGGGACGATACTCCATAAGGAGGTTGGGATTTGGGTTTTTTTGGGTGGTTATTTGTAAAGCTCATGGAAGGTGCTATTTATTTACAGTGATATAAACTGCGGCAGTTATGGCTGCCAGGAAATAGAATCGGAGCAGTACAAAGTTGTTTTGCAAGTGCATAGGCCTGTAGTAGTAGTAAAATCTAGATTACGCTGCAAAATTTAGAATGGTGACAAAGCTTAGTTGGTGGCAAATAGTTTCAGAGTTGTTGCTCTTTGCCTTAAATTATTAAATTCTGTGGATGGGTAATTCTTTAGCTAATGCTGAGGTCCCCAAACTGTGGGGCGTGCCCCCCTAAGGGGGCATGGCTGAGGCCTGGGCCAGCCCCCATGGGGAGTGCCCTTTGACTGCCGGCTCTGACTCCCAGCCCTGTGCCTGGGGCCCTGTCTGCTGGCCCCATGCCTAGGGCCCCAGCGAGGGCTCTACTCCCAGTCCTGTCCCCAGCTGTGGCCCTAGCCTTGGCCCCCTTACCCCATCCATGTCATCCCCCCCCCCCCCCGAGCTGCGGTCCCGCTCCCGGGGTGTGTGTGTGCGGACAGGGGTAAGAGGGGGTGTGACTCTGAAATGTTTTGGGGACCACTGAGCTAAGGGGTGTTTTTCCTTCCCTTTCAAACAGAGAACAGGTTGCTTTATGTGTTTCTATCTTGGAGCGGTTTCTTCAGGCAGTGGATCCATTGTATGTAATTCAAAACTTCAGAGAAGAACTTCAAAAAGGACTCTTTCATCCTGATGATTCAGTTAAACTTCTTACGATAGCCCAGGTATGGACTGTAACTCCTATATTCAAATAGTAAATAGTAGGGTAGATCTTTGACCGGTCTTGGCTAGTTTTAATCTGTTACCACTTTTTTTATATTACAGTTTAATTCTTTACCTCCCAGTACCAAAGTAGGACAAAAGCACCATATTGCTTGTATATAGATTCTAGTTAGAAATCTTGCATAGACTTGCTGAAATTTTTCATGTTGAGGTTTTGCATCTGGTGGAAACAGACTAATACTATATGTTCAACTGAATTTTTAGGTTGGAAGAATAGTTGAAAATTCAGATGCTGTAAGAGAAATTCTCAATAATCCTGAATTATTAAGGCAAATCATTTATTGCATTGGTGGAGAGAAAATAGCTGTAGC